AAAAAATATATATTTTATTTTTAATCACATGGAGTCTGCGAACAAAGCCAATGACTCACCCTAACAGCGTCAAGGCCCGACAACACTGAGTGCAAAACCCACGTCTGCAATGTACGCGAAGGAAGGTGATGCTTGAAAAAAGGTAAGGCAGGGCTCTCGACGTAGCATTGGGAAGTTAACTTGCTTCGAAGGTCGTTAGAGGTCACACGGAACGGCAACCTAAAACCTCCATTCGGTTCCACTCCATTCCATTGGCAACTTTGATCATTTTTTCATATCAAAAAAATTAATAACTAATATATTTGGTCACTTCAATCCACGACTGTTTGTGGGACGCTGCTCTGCGTAATTGGCTGCCGCGTTTCGCCCACAAATATACATTCAGTCCGCTTTACAGTGTGTTCTGTGAAGCGCTTTGGGACGTCCTCCCACGTGACAAGCGCTATATCAAATGCAAGGATTATTATTATTATTATTCTGTGAAGCGCTTTGAGACGTCTCGAAGCCGCGAAAAGGCGCTGTGTCAACTGCAAGGATTATTAATATTGACACTTTCTCTTCAAGTCCTACAAAGAATCTAACGTGGGTCCAATTTGTGGTGTTTCTTCACAGGGGCCACGGGGAATTCCTTAATAAAGTTGTCGCTCGGGGGAGTTGTGTGTTATGAACAGAACACTTTGCCACAGCAACTTAGAGTCACTTTGTCATATGACAAGTCCCTGTTCCCTTAAGAATCTCGTAAATTGTCCCTGTAAGTCTGAAAGGCACGTGTCGGGTTTGTGACAAGCTTCTTTTCCGGTGGCAGCAGCGTAGTCGAAGCCCACAAAGGACTCTGCTTCTCTCTCGGTCTTTGCACAGAAGAGACACGAGAGATAATTACAGAGATTGATGTCCTGCCCGCTGTAAAACCCGGTGCCTTTGCTCAGCATCGCGCTGCCTGCAAATAATTGATTGATAAGTGTAGCAGAGTCCCAGGCTGCTCAGCTGGTTGTCTTCTGCAGTTAATATGAATGTTTCGCCATCAGTTACTGACAATTAAATATCATCAGACACATTCTAAGCTGCCTCAGGTCCTGATTGACATTAACCCACAGCAGAAAAATTGTTGTGAATCGGTTAGCGCTCGTCACAGGTGGTATTGTGATGGCTGATGCTGTCACAGGGCACTCATTATTCTCCTCTGTTCTTTCCCTCAGATACGGAGCGAGATTTCCATCACCAATGGCGTACCAAGTCACTGTCACTAAGCTTAAACTCTAACCATTCCATGGAGGATCGATTGGAGTAAAAACAGAAGTGGCTGGGAACACTCAGCAGGTTAGGCAGCCTTTTTTTTGAGGGTTTATTACCCCCAGGAAAGCGATCTGCCAATCGACTAACAACCGGGTTCCTACTTACTGCTAGCAAAAGAGGCGTGTGGAGTAAGGAAAGTTTGGAATGGAACGTGCATTCTCTCCTCAGAGCAGCACATGCTGCTTGCCTAATTCCAGAGAGTATTAGGCGCAGGTTGGCAAGAGCCAAGGCTTGAAGCCCCTTAGATAGTGCGGTGGAGGTACCCGCTGGCATTTAACTAGTTAAAAATCACATAACATGCCATTGAGAGCACTCTCTGACAAGCTCCCTGCTGACTGAAGACCTTCCTCTTGAGTGACCACATTTTTTTTATTTGGAGGGATCATTGGGCGGTCCCTTTGTGGGCTAGCAACCAGTGAGTTACTCATCTCTCCAGTTGTAACCACCGCGCAGCTTGAGTTGAGCTTCTCTGTACACGGACCAGCTGTTTATAGGGATGCAGCAAAGTCCTATTCCCTCACTCCCATTAAATGGAAAAGGCGGTTGTGTTCATGTCCCACAGAATATCTTCCAAAGGTTATTTGTTTTCAAAAGAATGAATATACTGGAATCTACACTTGTACGTGACTTGACTCCTAACACATCATTATCTTTGCACATGAATATTTCCTAGCAAGTGCTTGCACTGAGAAATTACTTCACAGTGGCTCAGGCGGTGTAAGATCCTACAAATGCTAAGACAAAGGTATAGCATGTGGTTGAGATCCAAATGTCTATCAGTAATTACTAAGAATAAAGGCCAAATGTGTTCCAAGACCAGTTGCAACATACAGTGCCAATACTATAAGCTTCCAGCTACCACCTTGGCTCAGTTGTTAATCTCTAACTTCTGGATCAGAGATTAAAGGTTCAATCTTCAATTTGGGCCTTGAACTGACAAACTAAACTAGGCTGACACTCCTAGTGTGTTGCTTGGCGAAATTCTGCCTTGTCGGAGATACCATCAATAAAAAAAACTAATAAATTAGTCACTCAGCCCACGACTGTTTGTGGGACGCTGCTGTGAGCAATTGGCTGCCGCGTTTCATCCACAAAATACACAGTCAATTCACTTTACAGTATATCCTGTGAAGCGCTTTGAGACGTCTCGAAGACGTGATAAGGCGCTGTATCAAATGCAAGGATTATTATTATAAATCAAGTTATTAAATCAAGGTCCCATCTGCCCATTATTCAAGTACATATGTTGAGCTCTACCTCGTTTGGAGACTTAAAGCATGGTGCATGTCAGACCAAAACTAACCAAAAGTAAAATTAAGTGAGCACATATTCCACGTTATTGTGTTTCATACGAACCTGTCCTCTCCCTCCACTCGGTAGGTTGTGGTCTGCTCCACGTCCCCGCCCGGCCCACCCCACCATCGGAGGTCGGGTCTTCAGCCTCTCCGCCCCCCACTCTTTGGAAGCCCATCCTGCATTACCCTCGACTCACTCCAGTGCCTTGGGATGTCCTCCCTATCGGCCGGCGTTATACAGATGTAATTTGTTGTTGTTGTTGTACATTCTGTTCTCTGTTTCTCTTCGTCTCCCAGAACATCAGAACGTTGGCCAATGTTCTGTTGGCTTGAATTCTACAAACCTGTCTCATCTCTGGGGTTCTGTTTCAGAAGTAATTTCTACCTAATATATTCCAGCACCAGAACAGTGCTGAATTGAACTAATTAATTACCGTCTTTCCTGCCTTTTGCAACATGAAATCATCTGAAAATGTTCTGTACTTAACTAGGATTCGCAAGCCTATCGAGGTGATCCATAGTCTCAGAATATTTTAATGTAACAGACGGTAATTACACTGGATTTCATTAACAATTACAGCCTCATTTAACTGAGACGTGTTTTTGTGTAAGTGCTCATTAGATTACATAGTGGGAGCGTGATGATCAATTCTAACTGAATTGAAAGCAGATTAAAATATTCAGATGCAATTAAATTGCCCCAACATAACTAGGCTTCTATTTGTAAATTCACAAAACTTTTTAGAAATATATTTCAGGCAGGAGATTAAGAACACAATTATAGGAGCCGCCTCGATGGTTGGCCAGGACATCGGGAGAAATTCTTTCTATTTTATATCGGTTTAAAAGAAAATTCCAAATGTTTCTTTCTTAACTTTTTTTTCAGACCTTTCCCTCTCCACCTGCCCACCCCCCCCCCCCCCCCCCCCCACCCCTGCCCCTCTCTCCCACTCCTCAGCGCTCACCCCCAGCTCGGGTGCCAAACCATGAGTGTCTTCGGACTCCTCCCTCCTGAGATGAAAAGCGCTGGATGAACGAAAACTTGTAATGTTGTAATTGAATCCTTTTTGCAAGGCGTCTATTTCAAACCCTTCTGACCCGGACTCTCCCTTTACACAATAAGCCTTGGCCTGCTCTATGTCCCTGGCTATACCTGTCCTACCATCGGCATCTCCCCTCACTCTCTGGAACGCCATCCCTGAGTCCCCTTCAAGTCGCACCGTAAATCCCACCTTCAGACCTACCTCTCCTCCTCCTGCCTGGCTCAGTGTTCAACCCCCATCACCTCGCAGCTGTCTTGTGTTTTGGCTGAGTTCTTCTTGTAGCTGAAATTATCTGCTTTGATCTTCCGCCAATCCGTCTTAAATCAGTAATAATAATCCTTACATTTGATGTTGATACATCGCGCTTTCATGTTGGGAGGCCATAGCAAAGTGCATCACACGGTTTACCATAAAGTGCAGTGACTGTGTAGTCTCATCCGAAGGATGGTGCCTCTATCAATGCAATGCACCCTCAGCACTGAGCTGGAGTATAAGCCCAACGAGTTCCAAGACCTGATGTGGTGCTCGAACCCACAATCTTCTGACTCGGAGGTGAGAGTGCTACTGACTGAGCCAGGCTGACACATTTAACCCCAATAGCATTTTATTTCAATGAGAAGACATTTTAGAAATGTACAAAGAGCGTGCAGTGACCATCAAGGACATTAGAAGAGTTACCTATGTACAAAAATCCCCTCCGTCCACAGACAGGACAATGACGTACGAAACAAGCAATCAAGAGCAAAGCCCGACCTTGGATCATGGATCTTCTAATTCTCGAGTTGTCCTATTTAACTAATGGCCATTTAGTTGAGTTGCTTCAGATTTCCTCCATCGCCTCTTAAAGCACAAAATATTCTTTTCCAACAACAGCGACCACGTATAGAGTGTCCTTCAAACGGGGCAACATCTCGGAGAGCTTAACAAGGCAGTCTCCATTTTTCGGTCTCCTTTATTCCCAAGTGGCCTGGAACTTTACTGAGCATTTCACTCCTTTGGAGACCGAGGGTATTAAATGCCTTTAACTTGTGCAGCTCAAGCACAACGCTCACTGATCACATTGGAGGAAAGTTGCTCATTTGCTGTCAGGAATCAGTCAGACTAGACGGTGAGCTTACACTAGCGCTGATCAGCCTCACTCTCTGCTCCACATAGCTGACTGCCACAGCGTAGAGCAAAATACCAACTATGGTTTTGCCCACTTACTGGTTTGAAGCTTAATTTGAAGCTAATTATTAATATTAGCATGGAGCGGGGTGGGGTCAAAATTGTGGCATGTGATATTATTACCCATGATGATTATCACATCAACTCTCCACAAAATGTGGCCAAAAGCTAATGTTTTTGTTAGGTATCACATATGGTGGGGTGGGGGGGGGGAAGATGGGGTACTTGTGACACGATAACTGAGCCATGACTGTAAAAAAAAGCCTAAACCACAAATAAAAAAAAATCCCAGAGATTTTACCCATTTCAAATACAAATCTTGTGCATCGCAGTGAATTTGGAGATTGAGGGCCATTTTACCAGTGGTCGGTTCTGGATCCTTTATTTTTCACTCGAAAACGGGCTAGAGTCATTATATTTCATCGCTGTGGTCAGGGAGCAGTTCAGAAGGTCCGTAGTCAGTCTTCACCGAGTGTCCAAGTCCATGTCCCACATCGTGGTCATCGAGGCTGAGGTCCGCCATGGCTTTGACCTCCAGTGCTGTGACCTCCTTAGCGATGGTGGGATCTTCTGGGGAAGAGCTGGTCCTGTTGGTTTGGTGAGGGTTGACTTCCTCGGCAGGCTGTGTGTCCTTGGCTTTCCTGCCCTGTTTGCTGGCTGTGTCGCTCGTCTCTGAGCTCCGTTGGTCACTCCATTCGTCGTCTTCCTCCGCTGGGGGTGGCTTTGAGCATCGGTCGTCACGTGGAGCACTCGGGAATACTCAACGTCATGAAGGGACCTGGAAAACACTGCGAGGAAAAGGCGTACAGTGTGTGGAATTCTATATAAATGGCTCGTAAAACTGGATGCGGTCTAGTGCACTGAAGCACCAATACATTTCGCTCAGTAATAATAATAATAATAATAATAATAATCCTTGCATTTGTTATAGCGTTTGATCACATTGTTAAGATGTCTCAAAGCGCTTCACAGAACATACTGTAAAGTGAATGGACTGTACATTTTGTGGCCAATTAAAGAAATAGCTTGATGTTGAATTCGGAGGATGGTCGGGAGGGTATAGGCTGAGATCCAATGGGATAAAGGGACCTTCTTCATCCCAACGTCTCGTGAAGTTCACTTCCAATTGACCCAACTTGGGTTCAGGCTGTTGCTCTCCACTGCCCTCTGGTGATGCTGTGCCAGTACTGCCCTGTGATGGAGAACCACTTTGCCCACTCGTTCTTACCTCGTAATGGGGTGAAGTCATCTGCTGGGGCGCTCTTACTCTTGCTGAAGGGAGTGATGCTGGGGAAAATAACTAGGCCAAAGGACAGCAGCAGGACCTGGAGAGGAACAAGATCAACAGGACACCATTCAACGCCTCCCAGCAACACATTTAGGGTAAAGAGGCATACAATACAATACAAAATTACATTTGTGCAGTGCCTTTCACGTGGGGAGGACGTCCCAAGGCGCTGGACAGTCAGGGATTTGGACATGTCATGATCTTGGCTAACAGGGAAGTTTATATTTATATCATACAGTAAACCTCATACAAGTCTGATCAGTTGGGACCGTACATTTAATAAGTTAAATTCTAAACTATTGGAACCAACGTGGTTTTGAATGTCTAGTTTATTCTGACAATTGAAGCTTCTGACAGGTTCATAGAAACAGTTAGTAAGAGGTTTGTCAAACTTGCACAGAATATAAATTCTTGAACCGGATTTGGGCAGATGGAAGACTTAGGCGATTGGTTATACGATTGATACAGATCAGAATTATGCGACACAAACTCGTACCATGATGCAGGTTCCTGTCTGCGCAGTTTTGCTCGATGAATGCATGATGAGGGACTGGAGTTTCCTCAGTTGTGCCATTATTGTTCTGCAACGACAAGGCTACATTACTCACACTTCAGCAATGACATTAGTATATATTTTGGGGGCGCCGCTGTGCGCAATTCGCCGCCACGTTTCGCCCACAAAATGCGCAGTCAATTCACTTTACAGTACATTCTGTGAAGGGTTTTGAGACGTCTCGACAACGTGATAAGGCGCTGTATCAAATGCAAGGATCATCATCATTACTAATAATTAGTCCTTGCATTTGATTCAGCTCGTGCAGCATCGAAACATATCAAAGCCGTGGGCATGGTGTGCTGGCAATGGGTGCCAATGGATATGGAGCTGTGTAATTGTTCCAGGGCACTGGCGGTGGGTACAGGGGATGAAGCATGTCAGCACTCACGTGTTGTGCTTCTCAAGCTGAATGACTTTCCTCTGTAGTTCATGGTTGTGGACTGTACAGGCTGCCATCCTGAGAGGCAAAGAGATCATTAGAGAGTCCGGAAACCATTCCCAGACACTTTCAATCCCCTGATATCCTTGGCCCTGGATTTTTGACTGTTACAACAACATCTTGCAATTATATAGCGCCCCTCACGCAGGATAGCGACCCGGAGCGCTTGACAGTGGCGGAGCACGACACCGAGCCGGGGGGAAGTGGTTGGTGACTGTAGGCACGGTCGAAGAGGAAGGTCTTCAGGTGCGATCTGAAGATGGGGAAGGACGGGGTGAAGCGGAGGGAATAGAGGAAGAGTGTTCCAGAGTTTATGGTCGGTGTTCCCATAATGGCAGTGAGGGAGCGAGAAGTCGTCGCGTTTGCTATTCACAAAAATACACATTTTTTCTGCCAAATTGATTGTGCTCTAACCCCAGCGATCTCCCACAGTCTGAGTCAAACACACTGCTTGCTAATGGTTTATTCACATTGTAAGTGTGGAGTGGGTTGCAGTGGATCTTGTTCGGGTGCCATTGCTTGAGGTACATGGGTTTCCCTGCAGGAGAGGCACTGAGGGCCCCAAAATTCCACCTAGTCTGAGCTGCTAGCGCCATTATTCACGTCTCAAATGCTGAATATGCTGAAATTCAGCCTTAGTTTCAAAGCCAGTTGACAGTATCGTTTTTAAAAACTCCAGAAAGGAATTAAGGCCAAATTAAGACTCGATTTAAGAATCTTCCACAATACTCCGTGGGCTGAAATTTTAGGGCAACATTGGGCTTAGATTCATATATTGTATTTGGCGGAATTTCAGGGAGTGCATGTCCTTTTTAGGCACTTTTTCTGGTAGGAACAACGGCAACTTGTGTTTATACAGCATCCTTCACGAAGGGTAAAATCTCGGGAGTGTTTCGAGGGACAGGGTTGGACATCGAGCAAAGGAGACAGGGGAGGAGAGGGAGGTGGCCATTGGTGCTTTCAACGAGGGAGGATTTGAGGTGACACTTAAAGATGGAGAGAGAGGGGGCGAGACGAGGGGAGGCAGTAGAGGGAGAATAGAACCTCCTGCGTGGTTGTGTTGGTGAGCGTGTTTCTAACCTGCTTTCCAGCCCATCGATATACTCCTTCTTCTTCTTGCGACTCTCTTGCGCGGACTGCTTGTTGCGGATTTTCCTCCTGATCTTCTTCAAAACACGCTCCTCGTACTAAGGGAGGAAAGAGCTTGCGTTTTTTTTAAATCGGGTCTTATCACATAATTGCGTCTCCGAGCGCTTCGCAGTGTGAGTTTCACTCTAAAAATGCCACATGCAAGTCACCTACATTGGGTCCCCTCCAAGTGTAGTGACTGTGTGTTTTGTGGATGTCAAAAGATCCCATGGCACTATTCGAAAAGAGAAGGGAGTTTCTCCCGGTTTCCTGGCCAACAATCCCTCAAATAAAATTGGTCACTGACTTCATGGCTGTTTGTAGGACTTTGCTGCACCTTACCATACACAGCCAACACATACACAACCCATACATACACCCATACAACCACACTCAACGCGCGCACACACACAGTACACACACAGACAACACACACAGTACACACACTGACAAAACACACACACAGCCAACGCGCACACACACAGTACGCACACAGCCAACCCACACACACACACAGTACGCACTCATTCAATACATAACAACAACAACAAGATTCCATTTATAGAGCGCCTTTCACGTCGGGAGGACGTCCCAAGGCGCTGTACAGTTGGGTCAGGACCCGAGGGGTGGGGGGGGAAATGGTCAGGGTGAGGGGTGGGAAGGGAGGGAGCGAGGAGGGGGTAGAGAGTCGAGAGGGGAGCTGAAGGCACGGTCAAAGAGAAAGGTCTTGAGACCGGCCTTGAAGGAGGAAAGGGAGGAGGCGGCGGAGGCACTGGGGGATAGAGTTCCAGAGCCTCGGGGCTGAGAGGCTGAAGGCCCGGCCACCGATGGTAGGGCGGTTGGGGCGGTACATACACAACATGCACAAATAACCCTCTAAAGCACGGCAGAGGCAGGGCTGAGTTCACATTTTATCTGGACGTTGTTTTAGGAAGCTATGTTCTGACTACCTGAGAGCGAGGTGGTGCCTGTATGTTGTGTGTGTGTGATAGGTGTGTGTAAGAGTGCGGAGTGTACTTTGGACAGAGGCAGCTGTGAGGGGAGCAGGATTCCCTCCTTCACCAGTAGTTTCTTTTCATCCTCATTGAGGACCAGCTCCTGGAGTTGTTGCTGTTGTTGCTGTTGCTGCTGCTGTGGAAACAGGGAGATGCCCGAGTGAGTGAGAGAGAAATCCATCGTTCTTACACGGTGAGACAGAGCGGGCGAAGAAGTACAGCAGGTCAGAGTTTGTGAGGTGTAGAGAATGGACAAGAGAGTGGGGCTGGAGGAGACCGGGCTGCATTTGGTCAGTCAGGCAGGTGTCTGACACATGTAGAAACCCAACACCATGTTTAAGAGTATCAAAACCAAACTGAAAGTTCCACACATTTACGGCGTTCACACATGGAAATTTCCCGGTATCTGAATGGAATGTGCTCTCTCTCTCTCCCCATAGAGATACACTCTACTTAGCTACTTGTGGAGGTTGAACTATGTAATGTGAATAACATGAGGATAAATCGAGGAGCGGGATAACGGGATTCAAAAAAGCGTGAGATCAAATAGGCTGAAGGACCTTCTTCACCTGGTGCTCTCTTGCAAATTTGTTGATTCTATAAGCCTCAGATGTGATTCGGAGTGAATTCCTAATCCAGGGAAAAAGTCTCACCATTTCGTTGGTGCTGGCCAGCAACAGGTCCTTCACAGTGAGCGGGAAGAGGTTGTTTGCAGCGGATCTTGTGGGAACGCTCCTGGTCTCTTCATCAAAAAGGTCAGAATTCCAGTCACCTGGACAATTAATAATAATTAATAGCAATGCAATATAATTTCATTTATATAGCACCCTGCAAACCATGAGGATTCCTCAAAGCGCTTCACAAGATATACTGTAAAGTGGGGTGACTGTGTGTTTTGTGGGTGAACGTCTACAAAAGTAAATAAGGCCACCTTGGCATTCAGTGAATCACTGATTAAGCAAATCCACTAACCACTGAATGTAACATGTCAGTCTGTGAGTGTATGCATGTAAGTGTATGTTTATGTGCGGTGTATGTGTGTGAATGTGTGTGTGAGTGTGTGTGCAAGGGTGGATGTTTTTGTGTGTGGTGTATGCATGCAGACACAGGTGACAAGGTGTGTGCGCGAACGTGTGTGTTTGTGCAAGAGGTTGTGTGTGCATGTGTACATGACTGTGCGTGTGCACACCCATGCAAATGAATACCTTTAAACATGTTTCAGTAAAATTTGATCCCATGCTCTCTCTCTCTCTCCACTGAGTGCACAACGAATGCTTTTGTGTCATTAGTTCCTACACCCAAGCTTAGACATTTACAGCGTAAAAGAAAGCCATTTGGCTAATTGTGTCCAAACTTCCAGAAGCTTAAAGCTTCCAGGCATCTAACATTTTTTTTTAAATTGTATTAATAATAATAATCCTTGCATTTGATATAGCGCTTTTCACGTCTTCTCGACGTCCCAAAGCACTTCACAGAATACATTGTAAAGTGAATTGACTGTATATTTGTGGGCGAACGCGGCAGCCAATTGCGCACAGCAATGTCCCACAAACAGTGGTGGATTTAAAATGACCGATTTATTATTGCTTTGTTTTATTGTATTATTTTAAAGGGGAAACCCAGGCAATTTAGAGAGATTCAAAACAAGATTATTATTATTATTTCTCATTTTCTTTTGAGCACAAAGCCCCAGAGACTTGTTTTTAGTCTCATTAGGGACTTTGTTTTTCAAAGAAAATCTGGAAACAGAAAGGATGCTGTTCATTTCATGGAGATCTGTGAGTGTGGAAGCAATGCCAATACTCAGTGCAAACAGCGTCTGCTGTCACCATGTGGTCAGACTGAGGTACTGCCCAGTTATAAAAAATAATAATAATAATAATCCTAATCCTTGCATTTGATATAGCGCTTTTCCCGTCGGGAGGACGTCCCAAAGCGCTTCGCAGAACACACTGTAAAGTGAATTTACTGTATATTTGTGGGCGAACGCGGCAGCCAATTGCGCACAGCAATGTCCCACAAACAGTCGTGGATTGAAAATGACCAATTTATCATTGTTTTTGTTTTTTTGGAGGGATTATTATTAGGCTCTGTGTGGAGTAAGGAAACTTGCCCGAGGTTTCGCCCTCTGCCGGGAATTGAACTCAGGTCTCTCACTTGCAAAGCGAGTGCTCTAACCACTGAGCTACAGGACTCCACAGTTACAAACTTGCTCTGAACCATCACAATGACGGTGATTCTTGTATTATTATAATCAGCAAAATAATAATAATAATAATAATAATAATAATAATCCTGGCATTTGATATAGCGCTTTTCACGTCTTCTAGATATCTCAAAGCGCTTCACAGAATACGCTGTAATACGCTGGATTAGGAATTCACTCCGAATCACATCTGAGGCTTATAGAATCAACAAGTTTGCAAGAGAGCACCAGGTGAAGAGGTCCTTCAGCCTATTTGATCTCACGCTTTTTTGAATCCCCGTATCCCACTCCTCGATTTATCCTCATGTTATTCACATTACATAGTTCAACCTCCAAAAGTGACGGTATATTTTGTGGGAAAACGCCCTGTCAGAGTCCTGTAGCTCAGTGGTTAGAGCACTCGCTTTGAAAGCGAGAGACCTGGGTTCGATTCCCGGCAGAGGGCGAAACCTTGGGCAAGTTTCCTTACTCCACACGCCTGATAATAATCCCTCTAAAAAATAATAAATTGGTCATTTCAATCCATGGCTGTTTGTGGGACATTGCTGTGCGCAATTGGCTGCCGCATTTCGCCCACAAATATACAGTCAATTCACTTTACAGTCTATTCTGTGAAGCGCATTCAGACGTCAAGAAGATGTGAAAAGCGCTATATCAAATGCAAGGATTATTATCCAGGGATTTGGGGATAATCTCCTGACGTGAAAGGCGCTCTATAAATGTAATTTTGTTGTTGTTGTTGCAGGGATTCAAACCCAGCTCTCTCGCTTGCGAGGCGAGTGCTCTAATTACTGAGCTACAGGACTGCTAAGCCTATTGTATGTAGCGTTTTATCAATTTATCATTGTGAAAACATCTTAAAAGTGCTTCACAGGATTTTGCTGTAAAGTGTACTGACTGTGTATTTGTAGGAGAATGCGGCAGCCAATTTGCAGATTGCTAAATGCTGCAAAAAGCCATGAATAATTTTATCTGGAGGATTGTTGGCCAGGACACCAAGAGAAACTCCCTGAACCATGCTTCCCGGTAACCTGATCCCAGTTGTTAAATACCCTTGAGATAAAGAAATACTTCCTGGTGTCTGTCCTCCAAATGCTCTTCGCAACTAACCCCGAATTTGTGCCTTGCCGTAGATAAAAGTATTGTTCTCAATTTGCTTTCTCAATCCCATTTAAAACCTTGTAAATCACCGTACTATAATGGCCCACTGAGGCGATGTGTGTCCCAGGCTGCTAATTGCTGGTTTCACTTACCGAGTCCTATGGAGACATCCATATCTGGGAATTCTGCTCCTGTGGGTTTCAGGTTAGTGACTGGGTGACAGGTATCCTGGGGACACATTGCCTCAGGCTGTATTGGCTCACTGAATCTGTCTCTGTCTGAGGGCATGTAGTACGGGGGGCTGTCCATCTGGTCCGAATGGTGATCTTCTGATATTCCGCTGTCGCTGGCCGCTGGGGACCACTGGGGAGAGTCTGGCACAGAATTGGCCAGGATGGAGTTCAGCAATTCCTCATTCCTGCTCTCATTCACGGAATTATTCATGATCTATGTGTGGTGTGGGGGGCGGGTGGGAAGGAAAGTGGGGGAGAGACAAGGAATCTTTGAGTTAGTCGCAACTTGCAAAGGAACCTGAAGGAGCTTTCAGACATATCACATTACACTGCAGGACAGAGCAAAGTAAGAAACGTGTGTGAGGAAGAAAGCAATATCTCAATTAACAGTTTGGTATACTGCCTTTCAACAACAACAACAACAAAATTACATTTTATAGGGTGCCTTTCACGTCGGGAGGACGTCCCAAAGCACTTTCACATTAGGTAGGCATCTCTAAGCGCTTCATAGGATTTAAAGTGAAGTGTAGTGATCGTGTATTTTGTAGGCAAATGTGGCAGCCACTTTGCACACAGCAATGTCCTGTTTTTGTATGACCGAGGTCTCGTCTGCCTGTTCAGGAGGACATTAAAGATCACACGGCGCTATTCAAAAAACCTCTCTCACCCGGTGTCCTGGCCAAGAATCCATCAGATAAAATGAGTCACTCACTCCTGGCTGTTTGTAAGATTTTGCTGTGTGCAAATTGGCTGCTATTTCACCTACAAATACACAGTCATTGCACTTTACCGTCATTCCCTGTAAAGCGCGTTGACATTATGAGCACTGTATCAAATCCAGAGATTATTATTATTATTAGAAACCAACTCAAACAAAAGGCAAGAGGCTGAGAATGAGTGAGAGCAGCAGGTACATTAAGAACATAAGAACTTTCTAGGCGAAAGAGGACCAAGGTCCATCTAGTTCGCCTTCCACCATGCTGGTGGTCGCTTGACATGCCGTGTCCCAAACTATATACTGTATCCCGAGATATTATTTTCTCGCAGAAATCTCTCTGAGTTGAAATAAACGACATGTATCCTTACACTCTGCTCTGCCATCGCCCAGTTGTCTGTGCCCACTCTGCAGCCAGTTTCGAACTCCTGGTTCCAGAGAATCCCTTCCTCCTGGTCAAAGAGCAAGTCCAGCAGATCCACATTGTCCAGGTCAGGAGGCAGGCAGCCCGTCGACATCTGTAGGCAAGACAAAAGCCAGCTCTTACTCACAAGGCAATGGGATTTGAAGGAAATAACAATAATAATAATAATCCTTGCATTTACATAGCGCCTTTTCACGTCATTGAGACATCTCAGAATACACTGTAAAGTGGATTGACTGTACAATTTTTGGGCATTTTAATAATTATATAGATTGTTATAAAATTATTTTATAATTCACTGGTGAGACATGTTTGACGGGCCTTTTCCTGCTTCTATAAATATAAGTGTGTATTAAACATATAATATATAAATATACTATATATACTTAAATTTAAAAGTATATATGATATCCACGAACAGATCTGATGGTATTGACACATCTGATCTGATCTCTTGATCCTCAGTCCAGAGTCTCAGATTCTTTATTTATTGATCTGATTTCAAAATATTACACTCACCTATTGAACCTTGTTCACTGCAGAGTACAAAATAAACACGCCTTCTTTACAATTATATCATCTCAACAAAGAATCTCAGTGACTTTATCACCCACCCCATATTTGGTCTTAAAAAGTCGGGGGCTTTTCTCGCTCGAGCTAAGAAGGTTAGGAAATCCCAAGTTTTTCAAATGGATACAACAATAATAATAATCCTTGCATTTGATATGGCGTCTTATCGCGTCTTCGAGACGTCTCACCCTCCTTTCCCCCCTGCCCTCTACCCTCCCCAATCCCGACTCCCAGTTCAGGTCCGAAACGAAACACTGACTGTCCAGCGTCTTAGGACGTCCTCCCGACGTGAAAGGCGCTATACAAATGTCATTTTGCTTTCTCAAAGCACTTCACGGAATATACTGTAAAGTAAATTGACTATATATTTTGTGGACGAATGGGATAAATGGATAGATTATTTTTATAGAGTATAGAGTAATAGATTATTTCCCACGGTTGGTCTACAACAAGAGGGCACAGAGAATTATCACCAGGACACCGGGAGAAACCCTCTTCTCTTTACAAATTGTGCCGCTGGATCTTTAAAGTTCCATCTGAACAAGCTTAACATCTCATCCGAAGGATGGTTTAAGATTGTGTAAAAACGTGGAAAATTCTTAAATTTGGTCTCAGTTTGGAAGCGTGTCTTCCCCAATTCTTAAAAGAAACTGACTTCCAAATGGAATTTGAGTTTAAGAATGTTCTCGTAATCTTAAATATTAAGGCGGAAAATGGCCGTAGGGGCTAAGACTGGGTGGAATTTGGGGCCTGCGGGTTTTCTATAGATTGAAGAAGCAACACCCAAAACACTGAAAAAACTCACTGTTTTAGACATTTGATATTTGACTCATTTCTTATTAAGAAAAATGTTCAGAAACATGGCAAATTAAGATCATAATGAAAAAAAAAGCTCAGGGTTACCGGAATTTCCCTGGTTTCTTATTAAGAAATATGTTAAGAAACACTGCAAATTAGACCCTAATAAATAAATAGTCCTAGGATACTATAAAATCCCGAACTCTTAAATCAGTCAATGGGTCTGTGCATTGTCAATCTCTGTCTGAACTTTGCCCCAGTTCTTTTTGCAGCTCAATGTTTGAACAACAATGATAAGCGAAGACCAAGGTTGCTTGGTTTTATTTTTTAAGGGAACTTAACTTCAAGGAGCATTTTTTAAAAAGTTAAAAGGCACTCACTTTGCTCGGTGACCACTCGGTTTTGTGAATGGCTGGTGATAAGTACAAAAAGCCCTCTGGTTTGTTTTCCTGGGGGTCTTCAAAAAGCGATTCCGTGTTCGTCCACTCGCTCCGAGGTCTCCCGTTGATTTGATCTGGGACAAAGTTGAAGTCCAACAAAGCAGAAATAACGTCAGCTGTTGCAACATCGGTTCCACTTCCAATTGGACAGAGCCGGGCTGCTCACAAATCCAAAGTGCAATTGGAAAACTCCACTGGCATGTGCTTCCTCGGCTCTCAGTGCCTTGCCATCAAGATAGGAACAGGAGGAGACCATTCAGCCTTCTCCGCCATTTGATAAAATCACGTGTGATTTGCAACTTAATCCCTGCCCTATCACCATACCCCATTATCCCTCTGCCCATCAAATATTTTGTTTTGCCCACAAAATACACAGTCAATTCACTTTACGGTATATCTTGTGAAGCACTTTGAGGCATCTCAACGATGTGATAAGGCGCTATATCAAATGCAAGGATTATTATCATCTAGCTTCCTCCTAAACTTCAGGACTTGGAACCCATATAGTCCAGGCTGACACTCCAATGCACTGGTGAGGCGGTGTTGCATTGTCAGAAGTGCCGTCCTTCAGATGAGACATTAAACCGAGGTCCTGTCTGCCTGTCTAGGTGGACCTTAAAGATCCCATGCCACTATTCGAAAGGAGAAGGGAGTTTCTCTCTCTATCGTCCTAGCGAATATTCCAAATAAAATTGGCCACTCAGTCTTTGTTTGTCAATGGGACATTACTATGTACAAATTGGCTGTCGCATTCACCCAGAATTTTGCTTTACAGTGATGCGTCTCAACAACGTGATAAGGTGCTATGTCAGATGTAAGGATTATTATTACTGTTAATCTTATTTTTATTATTAATAATAATAAATATTTCAGTTGTTTTGGCATCTACAATCTCTCGGAATAACAAACTCCACACTCCCACATCCCACATTTAACTGGTTTAGCTCTGGTTTTAAAATGATGTCCTCATGCTTATGATCATGTACAATAAATAAATCAGCCACTGGGAAAGAGAGAGAGACAGGATTCATTATTCAATTGATGAATATTCACAGACTTACATTCATATTCATCTCTGTGCCTCTGGGATTTTGCCCGAGTTCTTCGTGTATGAGCCTGGACAGTGAGTGTCGACTGCAGAGCCTCACCTGCGCATATTTACAGTTGTCAGCCTGGCTTAGTCGGTAGCATCGAGTCAGATGGTTGTAGAGTGAAGCTCCATATTGTGCACTTGAGCTTATAGCCGAGGCTGGCACTGCAGTTCAGTGCTGTATTGTCAGAGGGGCTATCCTTCGGAAGAAATATTCAACCAAGATGTCTTCTCTCTGTTCCTCAGGTCCAGACTTCTCCATTTCCCAGCTCACCCACTCCTCAGTTCTGCCCTCCACAAGCTCCTGATCATCCAGAACGCCTCATTCTCTGTGACACTATTCTAAATGGCACAGGATGTTTCTCGCAGTATCATCACAAACAATCCTACCAATTAATTGATGATCCACCTCTTGGTTGTGTGTGGGACCTTGCTCTCCTCAAAATGACTGTCACATTTGCTTCCCGAAAACAGTCACTACAGTTGATAATAATTACTCTTAAGTGAATTAGGTGTTTCAATGTATAAGGTGCTGTAAAAAAAAATTTGTGTGGGTCTGTGGACTGCTTTAATTTCTGCTTTGCTATTATTCATTTGGTGGGGGGTTATTCTGATTTGTATGTGGATGAAACACTTGCTTTGATTCTGAAAGGGATTTCAGTGTTTCTCGAGCTTACAAAACACTACCATTTCTCACACTACTCTCTTTGAGGTGGACCCGCAAATCCTGTGAAACCATCAAAAAAGAGGAGGGTCCATGTTCACTTCTTATTCACTATTGCAAAATATGTGTGTCGTTTTGGCATTTTAACAATGATAAGCTGCAATCAAACCACAGGTTTTTTCTTTTTTACACGCTTCATAGGGTGGAGATTTTGGAAGCTCAAAGTACAATGTTCAGATGCAGTTCAATAAATTCATCGCTGATCCTATAACCAAGAGAATTACAGTAAGTGATTCCAATAGGTGCTTACAATGGACCCATTGGTCTGGATATCACTCCCTACAGCACACCAGCATAAACATTTCACCATTTGTTCAAAACATACAGAGATGTTCACAGTGAAGGGAGTTTCTTCCACTGTCCTGGCCAAATATCCCCTAGGTAAAATTGATCATTCACTTCTTGAGTGTTTGTAAGACATTGCTGCGCACACATTGGATGCTGCATTCATGTACAAAATTACAGTCACTACACTGTATACATATTATCTTTGTATATCTTAGAACGTCTGAAAGCAACGTAACCAGGAGACAAGTGGAAAATCAATAGGATTCAGTGACACACTTCAAGAGATTCCAAGCTACTAAACATTTCTTTGTAAATCAATAAATGCTCAGATGGTATTTTGGCTACAAAGGAATTCCCTTTCATCCAGCAGGCTTGTTCATTCTAACATATACAACAATAATACTACATTTTACAGGTTTGTAAATTCATGAAAGGAAGTTTTCTTAGTGTCCCGGCCAACAACCTTCCAGATAAAAGTTAGTCATTTACTTCATGGCTGTTTGTGGGACATGGCTGTGTGCAAATTGGCTGCCTGCCACGTTTGACTATAAAATATTCATTACACTTCATATCAGTTTCATGTGAAACACTTTGAGACATTGCAACACAGTGAACGCTATATCAGATTCAAAGATTATTGTTTTTATTGTTATTAATTTCCCTTCTGACGGTGCAGACTGATACTTCCCCAAGAGCCAATGCCCTATTTCCAAGTCAGTTGAATTTGGTTCCACAGAAGTCATTGCTGATGATGTATCAAACTCTGGTCAGGCTGCACCTGGAGAACCATTACGGTTGCCACAACATAAGAGGCGCTCCAGATCCTAGAGGCTATGCAGAGGATAGCAACAAAGCTGATCTCCAGTGTTGGAGGGATCTGTTGAGAGGAAGGCTTAGATAAGGCTCTTTAGCCCTGTAACGAGAGGAAGGTCTTATAAGGATAATATGATGTTAAATGGAATATAGAAAGTAAGCCAAGAACAAATGGTTCAGGGTTGTGAAAGGCAATTTTAGGACTAACACGAGGGAGTATTTCTTTATTGAGGGTTATAAGGCTCTTGTTACAAAGCTAAAAGAGTCCTATCAACAGTTGGAATTGGTTACCAGAACAGGTGGTCAAGCCCAGGTCACTGAACTGCTTTTTTAAAGTAAAATTTATATTGTAATGGGAGATGGTAGAGTGGAAGCTCGGGAAGGATTGAAATCAAACGGGCTACAACTTGCATCACCAGCTTCATCCGAACCTCTTTGGTGATCTTCAGATTCTGTGCGAGAAAATGAAGTAATTCTGCAAACAGGCTCTAGGATGGAGCTGGTGAGGACTGTATTGAAACAGATGTAAAAATGATAAATAATATATTATTAGATGTAAAAATGATAAAGGTATCAGAGGGCAGGCAGGCACAGCACACAACACAAGTCATCACAGCCATTAATCTAACAAGCTTCTCCAACATCAGGAATTGTGGCGAGTTCAATTTTCTTTAATGTATGAGTCCCCGGATTTGGTTTACAAAATGTGGTCATCTTAGAATGTACGATAATTATTATGTGCTGGTTGTCAACGTAAAGCAATGAAATATTATAATTTTTAATGGCGGAGTGGAGTGGGGGGGGAATGGAAAGAGAGACAAATTGCAACAAATTATCTCTGGAATTTCTGTGTATAGGTGGGATGCATGGTTTAGATATAAAGCATGGTGATGGGTTTCCACATGTGCTGGACACCCGGCTGACCATAAAAACAAGAAGGAAAGGAGAGGGAAAGAAATAGATTTCAAGCCATAATCTAGCCCTCCGTCTGCTTGTGCCCCACCCCAGGGATGTTCACTAACCACAGCCCACAAGCAGACGGAAGGCTAGATTATGGCTTGAAAAAGTGAAAAAGTGGCACCAGAGGACAGCTTACCTTTAACAGATGACCAAGTCTCACAAGAATGAGCAACAGGTGAAATCTCTTTTTATTTGGTAAGCCAGATGTCTGGCACATGCGGAAACTCATCACCTGCTTAAGAGCAATCCAAACTAAACCGAGAATTCCATGCATCTCACCTACACGTGGAAATTCCCGAGATAGATTGTTGGAATGGAATGCGCACTCTCTCCCTGGAGGGACGCATCCTGCTGACCTAATTCCAGAAAGTATTAGGCACAGGTTGGCAAGAGCCAAGGCTTGGGGACCTCAAGAGTGTGTGCCAAAACACTGATTGTCCAGTGACTTGGGACGTCCTCCCGACGTGAAAGGTGCTATACAAATGTAATTTTGTTGTTGCTGTTGTTGTTGAAGTAACTGCTGGAGTCTAACCAGCTAAAACCATATAGCTTGTCTTTGATATTGCTGTCTGGCAAACTTTCCCACTGCTTGTCGAGCTAGGACCACACTATCCGTTAGGGCTTTGGCTTGCAGGGTGAACAGGAACTGAGTGGGATGACCCTTGCCCCCAGTGACCGGTCTGCCATTCCAGGTCCTGCCAATTAGCCAGCCTGGCTATACTGTTATCAGCAGTGCCCTGGAGTACTGCGGACCTGCCTGACTCAGGAACTAGACTACTGAGACCGCCACAGAGGATGGGCTCGAGTCCGGTATTCCATTGCCGGACATGTCAGTTCAGCCCCAAGGAGACCGTTTACCTTTCCCCTGCCACAGGCGGACAGTCACTAGTTGGTCGCTCGACATCCGACAAGCCCGGATTTGAGCCCTGACTAGTTGGTTAGAGAGAAATCCCTGCGAGCTTACACAATAATAATCCTTGCATTTGATATAAAGCCTTATCACGTCTTCGAGACGTCTCAAAGCGCTTCACTGTAAAGTGAATCGACTGTATATTTTGTGGGCGAGACGCGACAGCCAATTGTGCACAGCAGCGGCCCACGAACCGTCGAAGACTGAAGCGACTCAATTTATTATCTTTTTCGAAGGAATCATGACATCTGTTCGGCGCCTTTCACCTCGGGAGGACGTCCCAAGGCGCTGGGCGGTCAGATTTTCGGACCCGAGCTGGGGGTCGGGATTGGGGAGAGCGGGAGGGGGTGTGTGTGTGTGGGTGGGTGGGTGGGGGGGTGTGGGGGGGGCGGGAGCGAAGTGATGGAAAGCACGGCCGGAGAGAGAGGAGGGTCTTGAGATGAAGGGGGCGAGGCAGGGTGGGGGGTGGTGGGTTGGGGGGGTGGCGAGGGGAGGCACTGCGGGATGGACTTCCAGAGGGTGGGTGGGGGTACAGCGGCGTAAGGTCCACCCGCCAACGACGGGGTGGGGGGGGTCGCAGAGGTAGGGGAGCAGCGAGGCCAACGGCACTGATGATGGGCTACGCAGCGCAGCCCGGCTCCTCCTCCTCCTCCTCATCTTCATCGTCATCGTCATCATCTTCATCATCATCATCAGGACCTGGCGGCCACCTGCTGAAATCTCGCGAGAGTCCCGGGGGGGCGGGAGCAGACGCTCGAGCGGGAGATGCTGCGTCACGGCGGCCCGCGGGCCAACCCGAGCCCCTCCCCCTCTCCCTCCCTCCCTGACTGACTGACTGGTCGGCCGCCTCCTCCCTCCTCAGCCCCTCCTCTCCCGCCCCTCCCTCCCTCTCCCTCCCTCCCTTCCCCTCCCACACGCAGAGGCGTTCACTCGCTTACGCTCCGAGTCTTGATAGGCCGCGAAAGCCTCGGACTCGCGTACTCCGCTCCCCCCCCCCCCCCCCGCGCTCCGCCGCAAGAGCCGGTCTTGCACCGCCCGCCCTCAGTCCGTCCTCCAGCCTCAGCGGTAATGCGAGTGTGAACGACGAGCTTCTCCCCCCACCCACCCCACCCCGAGCCCAACACCGGACATTTTGTTTATAAAAGCCGGGCCCTCCCCCTCCCTCACTCCCTCACTCTCTCCTCCCGCTCCCAAAAGAAAAAGCCCACCTCAGGTCTCGGCCCCGGTGAAGAGGCGCAGCAGGTGCCGGGCCGCACGATGTTCGCCAAGCGGAGGCCAGAGCTGCCCGCCCTGAGCATCCCGCCCACGGTGGTGGAGGGGCCGTCACCCACCAGCGACGGTAACGCCGAGTGAGTACCGGGAGCCCCGGCGGCGGTGGCGGTGGGTGTGGAGTGAGTGGGGAGGGGGACGGACACCGCCTTCACACGGTTACTCGGCGGCTTCTCCCCACCGGTTAAGGTCTTGTCCGCTTGGACTTTTAATGCGGCAGAAAATTAGGCGGGTTTTTTGTTTGGGTGGTGGTGGTTTGGGGGGAGTAGTGGGGGGGGAAGGGGGCGCGGGAGGGGTTGGGATTCGTTACACGTTCAATAACGGCTGTTAACGAACCGATCTTTCCTCGGAAAAGGCCATGTGTCACTTCCCCCTCCGAAAGGGGGGGAAACGGCGCCCAACACTTCAGCCGAGCGGCCAACGTGTGTTTCACAAGACTGGGCTTAACAGTTAAGTGGACTATAGACAGAGAGAGAAAGAGAGGGAGAGAGAGAGAGAGAGGGGGGGGTGGATGGAGGGATGAGTGGGTGGGTAGGTAGAGGGAGATAGAGAGAGAGATGGATAGAGAGAGAGATGGATAGAGAGAGAGTTGGATAGAGAGAGAGATGGATAGAGAGAGAGATGGATAGAGAGATGAATAGAGAGAGAGATGGATAGAGAGAGATGGATAGAGAGAGAGATGGAGAGAGAGATGAATAGAGAGAGAGATGGATAGAGAGAGAGAGATAGAGAGAGAAAGAGAGATGGATGAACATAAGATTGTGGGATGTCAAGGAGGAAAACTGGATGTGGTGGAAGTCAGAAATAAAAAAGGAAAGTGCTGGGAATCTACCCCACCTCACCTCTGAAAGGGAAACAACAACAGTTACATTTGCACCGCGCCTTTCACGCCGGGAGGACGTCCCAAGGCGCCGGACAGACAGAGTTACCGACCCGAGCTGGGGGCGGGAGGGTTGGGGGAGGGCAGGGCAGAGGAGGGTCTTGAAGGTGGCGAGAGAGGGGCCGAGACGGAGGGACTGCGGGATGGAGTCCCAGAGGGTGGGGGCAGAGTGGCGGAAGGCCCGCCCTCCAATAGTGGGGCGAGCGAGGCGAGGGACTTGAAAAAGGCCAGAAAAGTATATTATTAAATCTGTTCTCATTCGGGGAGGCGATTGACTTTGTTATGGCCTTCCAGTTCTTTTTATTATATATATATATATTTTAAAGGAAGGTAAAATTGAGTCATGGGTTTCTTGAATTGGGGTCATGCAAGCAAGGGTAAGTTTATATATTAAAAAAAAGTAATTCTGCTTGTATCGTTTCTTAAAAAGAAGTGAAAGTGGAGGGTGGGGGAATCTTGTTGTGGTTTCATTTTCTGAGTGCTCTGCGTTGCACATCATTGGAAAGTGGTTCTAAAAAAAATTCAACTATGAAAGAATGTGGGTGGACAGCATTGAGTCCAAATATTCGTTCAACTTTCATGCGGGCACGTGGGTATGAATAGTTTGTTCAAAACTGGTCTCATTCTGGAAGAATGACTTGCAACTCATTTTTTGTGTTCACTTTTTTGTGTATGATTAAGCTAGAGATGATTCGCTCCATTGAAATTGCCCATGGCTGAAAATGCTTTAGAGAAATTCATTGAATAGATCGTGCTATTTATCTTTTACAACTTTAATTTGTCACAGAGGAAATTTCTGAGAAAAGATTGTCACTATTGTGTATTCTGTGGATATTAGATCTCGGTCATTGGTTCTTGGTTCTTTTGCAGGTTCCATACAGTTGGTAAAGCTGCCAACTGCATCATCCTGTGTGTACCTAATCTTTGGGTTTCCTTCTAGTCTAAATATTTCAAGCAAATCTCCCTGCCGCTGGTTAAAGCTTGCTCATCATCAGGAATACAATTTGTTGAGATTATTCAGGGCATTTGACTAGTAAGAAGTAAAATTTGAACATTAAGGTGGTATTTGAGAAGTATGTTGCAAAGGGCGATTGCATTTGTTCAAACCAAACCAAGATCTATACTGAAAGAGTGCTTTACGACACCAGAGAACCATACTGAATGCCTTCATTCTGAACATTTTTCTTAACTGGCTGATATCTTTCACCTTCCAAATTCTTTTAAGTACTTCCTGCCACATTTATCTCTACGTACTTTAGATATGTCTGTATTTTACATCTATCTGATCAAATATCTCTCCCTTCCAGTTGTACATTTGACTGATAGGATTGCTAGTTGCACTTGATTCTGCCATCACTGTCATGATGTTTAAATTGGTTGAAGTGACCTTCATTTCAGTAACAGAATGAATTTTGTTTTCACACATTTGAAAGCCTGTGGAAAAGTGAAAGTACTTTGTTTAAAAAAAAATGTCAGTTGGTAGGACTCTTGCCTTTTAAGTCAGAAGGTTTGAGTTTAAGCCTCATGGTGAACAACAACAAAATTACATTTGTTTAGTGCCTTTCACGTTGGGAAGACATCCCAAGGCGCTGGACAGACAGTGTTTTGGGCGGAGGGCAGGGAAGGAAACAGGGTGATCGAAGGCACGGTCAAAGAGGAGGTTCTTGAGATGGGTCTTGGAGGGGGCGAGGCTGAGGGACTGTGGGCTGGAGTTCCAGAGGATGGAGGCAACGTGGCAGAAGACCTGCCAAGAGTGTGGCAAGCGAGGTGGGGGATGTGAAGCAGGCCGAAGCCCGCTGAGCGGCGGGAGCAAGCAGGATGGTAGGGGATTAGGATGTCGCAGAGATAGCAGGAGCAAGATCGTGGAGGGCTTTGAAGGCGAGGACCAGGATCTTGAACTGTATTCTCTGTGTGATGGGAAGTCAGTGGAGGACGGTGATAGGTCACGGAGCCTGGTCCGGGACAGGGTGTGGGGAGGAGTTGGGGAGAAGTTTAAGCTATAAACTGGGTGAGTGCTGCATTGTTGGAAATGCTGTCCTTCAGACGAGATACTAAACTAAGGTTCTGTCTACCCTGTTCTAGTGGAAGTTAATGATCCTGATTGGCTCACGTCAGCGCCTCCGCACCTCAGGCGCTGACACCATCAGCATCCAAGGCTGCACTCTCCACCTCTCAAAGCCAGTCAGGAACCTCGGCGTTTTGTTCGACCCTGAGCTGTCCTTTCTCCCTCACATCCGCACTACAACTGGCACCGCCTTCCATCACCTTCGGAACATCGCCAGACTACGGCACTACCTCACCCCTCACGCCGCTGAAACCCTGGTCCACGCCTTTGTCACCTCAAGGCTGGACTATGGGAACTCTCTCCTCGCCGGCCTTCCCGCCACCTCCCTCCACAAGCTGCAGGTCATTCAGAACTCTGCAGCTCGTGTACTGTACCGCACCAGGCTTCGGGACCACATCACTCCCACCCTCGCTCGCCTCCACTGGCTCCCCATCCCCCAGAGGATTAATTTCAAGATCCTCATCCTCACCTACAAGGCCATTCACGGCCTTGCTCCCTCCTACCTCTCCAACCTACTATCCCCCTACCTACCTGCCCGTACCCTCCGTTCCTCTGGCTCTGGTCTGCTCCACGTCCCCCGCCCCAACCGCCCTACCATCGGTGGTCGGGCCTTCAGCCTCTCAGCCCCCAGGCTCTGGAACTCCATCCCCCAGTGCCTTCGCCGCTTCCTCCCTTTCCTCCTTCAAGGCCGGTCTCAAAACCTTTCTCTTTGACCGAGCCTTCAGCTCCCCTCTCGACTCTCTTCCCCTCCTCGCTCCCTCCCTTCCCTCCCCTCACCCTGACCATTTCCCCTCCTTGCTCCCTCCCTTCCCTCACCCTGACCATTTCCCCCTCCTCGCTCCCTCCCTTCCCTCCCCCTGACCATTTCCCCCCTGCTCGGGTCATGACCCAACTGTGCAGCGCCTTGGGACGTCCTCCTGACGTGAAAGGCGCTTTATAAATGGAATCTTGTTGTTGTTGTTGTTCTAGCACTATTCAAAAATAAGAAGTTTCTCCCAGTGTGCTGGCCAACAATCCCTCAATACATTTGGTCATTCACTTAACATTTGTGGGACATTGCTGTGTGAAAATTGGCTGCTGTGTTCGCCTACAAAAGACAGTCACTACACTTTACAGTAATTCATCATGTGAAGCGTAATTCAATCATGTCCTCCCAACATGAAAAGTACTATACAAATGTCATTTGTTGCTGTTGGAGTGTTTTGTGACGTTTCAACAGCGTGATAAAGTGCTATATGAAAAGTAAGGAGTATTATGTAAAACTAGGGACAATTTTTGTATAACATTTGCATCCAGCTTTCTATTCTGCAGACAATTGGTGAAACGCATAAATATTCCAGTTCCAGAAATCCAGTACTGCAATGCTGCAGTTTCCTAAATATTCTTTGGGTTGTTAATTTTGATGCTGGTATTTGCAGCAGGCTTGCTTCTTTCTCCAACCAACCCCTCCCCAAAGCTGTAGCTCCTAGGCTTCATACCAGTGGAATGACATCATATGTCTGTATGTATGTTGATTTTAAACAACTGGTTAGGTTAAAAAGATATAGAGAAGGAATGGGAATGCGTTGCTAACAGTGTGGCCCAGTTCTCTTTTATCTCCTTCATCTGCTGGTTTCAAAAGGTGAAGGATTCTCGTGGCACTTTACCATTTGCTGCCATTTCCCAACCAAGTTTCCAGTTGATCGATTGCACAATCTGCGCTCAGTCTCTGTTTAAAATATCTCAAGTCATTCTACTGTCGTAAACCTACTACAAAGGAAATTAAACAAATACATTTCTGTTAGAATTTCTGCTTGCTGCCAGTAGAAATAGTCTCCATGGCAGAATTGTTCAGTTATACCAGCTGCTGCTTTTTGACAAGCAACCTATTAGAAACCTTTTGTTTTTACTCCATACAATATTATTTGAAATTATTGTTAATGGGAATTGTCAAACCTTGCTCTGTCATTACTTCAACCAGTGTGGGTCAGTGTATACATTGGGTTTGGTTAACCACGTCCTGTCTGCAGGCAGAAGACTGTTCTAGATTAATGTTTAGTTCACTATATTTAAATCTATACCACAGCAAAAATGTACTCCCAATAAATTTAGTGCTGACAGAACGTGATGTTGGTATTACCGCAGGATGGTCATGCACCTTGAATTGCAGGTTGTGATAGTTTTCAGATAACTGTGGTCTTAAATGGCAGTTCTGGTCTAAGTCTGGTGGAGTTGTCCTTCAAAGGACAAGTCGATACTTCAAAGATAAGTTCTTCCTGCACATTTGACTTGTTTTTGCAGTGCAGTATCACTTTTAACTTGAAGAACTGCACCGACTTTTCCTGTGAGATAAATCGCGGAGAGAAGTTAATTACCGTAGGGATTGTTGTATTGTGTTACAAGTTTAATTTTCTCTTTTTAATGGGACTACTCTGAGTCAAAGGTGCTTCCTCTAGACATTAGTTCTTCATTTTAGTTCCCCTTAGCGGATGGTGGAAGGAGTCGCTAGCGTAGTTTTGAATGCACATTATATGTGTGTGTGTGTATATAGTAATATGAAACCGTGCACATGCAAAACAATGGAGTCTATAAGCAATACAATACAAATTTACATTTATATAGCGAATTTCATGTCGGGTGAGTGTCCCAAAATGCTTAACAATCCAGCAGAGGAGGAAGAGGCAAAGGAATTTGCTGTGATGAGTCATTTACTGAAGCTTCCAGTCGACGGAAAACTGCTGTCAATATAGATGATCAAAACATTTCCAGCGTTGTATTGAACACAGGCGAGGCCAAAATTGGCATATTGTGTGACCATTACGATACCTATTAAAAAGGATTCTAAACAATGGACACAATTTCAGAGATTAGCATCCAGGATGGTTCTGGGACTATTAATGATTGAAAGTAGGAGTAGGATGGCTGTTTAGATACATTGAGATTTGGATGGGTTGTGGGGCGAGGGGAGAGAAGTTCAGAGTACTTGATGTTTGAGATCGAATGGGGAGGGGAGAAGTTTGTAAGGGAAAGATATCCAGGTCCAGTTGAAAATTGGTAAAACTTTTTTTTACTCCCAATTTTCACCAATACTCGTACGTTTGGATGAAAATTAATCTTGTTATTTCTAAACTACAACGACTTGCATTTATATAGGGCCCCTCACTCAGGATAGATTATTACTAGCACACTCTGTGAAAGATTTCTTAATTCATGGAGACTCTATCACATTCTGATAATTGAAAAGGATTTCCCCTCAGCAAGCTTGTTTGAAGAGAAAGAACTTTCTCAACTAGTATCACGTAGCAATAACCAAATTAACAGTTGCACTGCCCCTGGCTGCGCACAAACCAAGTCACAGTGGAATATAAAGCTCCATTTCAACTCTTTACCTTCAACTAATTCTTTAACTAATTAACTAACATGTTGTATAAACGGAATGTATTTTTTTTAATTTAAAAATTTAAGGGATGTAAATCAATTCCCAGTGATCTTGATAAAATCTCCCAAAAAAGTGGTCCAACCTGAACTTTAATGTTGATTTTTTTTTCTATTTCTCCCAGCAACTGACAATGCTCCTGAGCTTAGAAGAGTCTGTGACCACTGAACTGATAAAACTTACATTTGATTAAATAAAGCAACTTCTGTCAGTTTCTCAAAGCACTTGTCAGGTTCTTCCAGTTCAGTGTTTGTAGGCAAACACGGTAGTCAGTTTGGGCATTGCAGTATTCGATAAACAGCCATGAAATGAGTGAATGTCCAATTTATCTTGAATATTTTTGGACAGGACATTGGGAGAGACCCCTTCTCATTTCAAATAGTGTCAAGGGATCTTTTAACAATTGCCTGTTCGAAAGTGTTTGTTTCTAGTTCACAGAAAAATGGACCGTGTAGCCAGAAACCACAAATAGCTTTTCTTTTGCAGGGGAGTGTTCTGACTAAAACGGTTGCACTTAGATACTCAATTTAGAGAGGTAGCTACTTCCTGTCTCTACTGTATACAGTGATGAGATAGGCTTATAATGTGCTGTAGCCCGTTAAGAGTTTCTGCACTGACTACACCTAAAACTATTTAAAATAAATTTGTGGTGTGTTGTAAATGGCCTAGCACTCTTCGGCTATAGAATTGTATGAGAATATAATTAGGTTCATCTATGCTCCATTCCCACTAAGATTAAATAGTCTCTTTATTCACCACTAAAACTCATGGTTGCTTATGGTATCTGACTCATGGTTGCTTATGGTATGGTATCTGAAACGTAGCAACTTTAGACCTGTATGTTATTTTCACCGAGGTGTCAAACTGTTTACTGGTGGGAGGAGGTGTGGGGGAAGAGGGGAAAGACCAGATGGTCAGCCACCCACATTCCACACGCCATCATTGTACTTCACATCCAGACTTTGCTGAAAGGGTTTTGTTCTGCAGAGCTAACCTGGAAGCCTTGCAGAAAAAGCTAGAGGAGCTGGAGCTTGATGAACAGCAGAAAAAGAGACTTGAAGCCTTTCTAACCCAGAAGGCCAAAGTTGGTGAACTGAAAGATGATGACTTTGATAAGATCTGTGAGCTGGGTGCTGGGAATGGTGGCGTGGTCACCAAAGTTCGTCACAAACCATCCGGACTTATTATGGCAAGAAAGGTGAGCAGTATTTAGAGATTCGTACAATAGGAACATGCGTGGGAGGTAGTTGCATGTAGTGGTTTGTTGTGTAGTTATATTTCCAGTACTTCTGCTGACAAAACGTTCACTGGATTTTGAATGACCAGTGAACATTTCAAGAGCCCAAACTCTGCAGGAAATGCAGATGTTCCTTCAAATATTATGTACAGTCCAACATTCATCGGCTCTTTTGTTTCTAAACAACGGATTATAAGAGTCCTGGGATCTTAAGAACATAGGAACAAAAGAATTAGGAGCAGGAGTAGGCCATTCGGTCCCTCGAGCCTGCCATTCAATAAGATCATGGCTGATCTATTCTAACTCCACCTACCCGCCTTATCCCTATATCCCTTAATCCCTTTATCCACAAGAAATCTATCAATCTCAGTCTTGAATATGTTCAAGGACTGAGCATCTACAGCCCTTTGGGGTAGAGAATTCCATAAATTCACTACCCTCTGAGTGAAGAAGTCTTTCCTCAACTCAGTATCCCTAATTTTAAGACTGTGACCCCTGGTTATAGTTTCTCCAACCGGGGGGGGAAAGTCTCCCACTATCTATTCTGTCGTGCCCTTTAATAATCGTATAGGTTTCTATAAGATCACCTCTCATTCTTCTATGTTTTAGAGAATATAGGCCTAAATTGCTCAACCTATCCTCATAACTCATCCCCCTCATCCCAGGTACCAACCTAGTGTATCTACGTTGTACCCCCTCCAAGGCGAGTACATCCTTTCTTAAATAAGGAGACAAAACTGCACACAATACTCTCGGTGTGGTCTCACCAGGGCCCTATACAGTTGCAGCAAGACTTCCCTACTCTTATATTCTAACCCTTTTGTAACAAATGCCAACACACCGTTAGCCTTCCTAATTCCTTGCTGTACCCGCAAACTAATTTTTGTGATTGGTGTACAAGGACACCGAAGCCCTCTGAACGCTAACACTATCTAGTCTCTCCCCTTCTAAAAANTAATCTGCTCTACTGTTTTTGCCACCTAGGTGGATGACCTCACACTTCCCTACATTATACTTCATCTGCCACCTATTTGCCCACTCACTGAGCCTATCTCGTTGCATTTTTTCAATGTCGTCCTCGGTGTTTACTCTCCTTCCTAGTTTAGTGTCATCCGCGAATTTGGATATATTAAGTTCGATGTCCTCATCTTGATCGTTGATGTAGATTGTAAATAGTTGAGGCCCAAGCACTGATCCTTGTGGCACTCCACTAGTCACATTCCGCCATTAATCTTGGTAGATTAACACAAATCCATTATCTACCACTGCTTCTAACCTATCTGTGGGTAGGTTGAATTTGGCATTGCAGTATTTTGGGGGATGTGGATAATTGGAGCAGATGCACTGTAGAAATCTGATTATTAAGAACTGTAGAAAGCCATTATAATTAGTTAATTACACCATGGTTCGATTTTTCCATTAATATGGTGGAGTAAAACAGCAATGGGATCATCTAACTCCCTCTTCTTCTTCTGCAGCTGATTCACTTAGAAATAAAGCCAGCTATCCGCAATCAGATCATCCGTGAGCTCCAAGTGTTACATGAATGTAACTCACCATATATTGTGGGCTTCTACGGAGCATTTTACAGTGATGGAGAAATCAGTATATGTATGGAACACATGGTAAGTGCTGATGCTCTTTATAGGAAACAAACTTTTTTAAGTCTTCCAAATCTTAAACTGAAAGCAGCAATTAAGGTAGAACGAGTGGAGAATAGAAATGTAACATTGATGTTCTTTGGATGTTACATTGCCAGCCTGGCCTGTGGGAGATCTGCATTCCATCTGACTTCTGTCATTTGACTTCGATAAGCTCTTGGGTAATTAAAATTGGCAGCTAATCAAGGTCCCACTGTATGTGCAAATATCAAAATATTAACTAGTGCCTATTACTATTCCACTAGTAACCGAATAAATCCATTTATGACCCTTGCTGTGAGGTAAGGTTGCTGTTGTGAGGATTACTATTGCAACACATCATCAGTGGATTAAACAAACATGTCTCTCACCGGGGTCTAAATCTATCTGATGTTACTTGTTAGTGAGTGAATAGTCTGACTCAGTGAATTCTGATTTGCAATGCTAGAAAGAACATAAGAATTAGGAGCAGGAGTCGGCCATTCGGCCCCTCGAGCCCTGCCCCGCCATTCGATAAGATCATGGCTGATCTTCAGACCTAACTCTAATTACCTGCCCTATCCCCATATCCCCTAATCCCTCTGTTTTTTTAAAATCTTATCAGTCTCAGCCTTGAAGATATTCAAGGACTGAGCATCTACAGCCTTCTGGGGTAGTGAATTCCATAAATTCAATGCCCTCTGAGTGAAGAAATGTTTCCTCAACCCTGTTCTAAAAGGCTGACCCTTAATTTTAAGACTGTGACCCCTGGTTATAGATTCTCCTACCGGGGAAACAGACCCTCAGTGTCTACTTTATCAGCGCTTTAAGAATCTTATATGTTTCAATAAGATCTCCTCTAATTCTTCTGTACTCTAGAGAATGTATCCCTAGTTTATTCAGCCTATCCTCATAGGTCATTCCCCTCATCCCAGGAACTAACCGAGTGAATCTACACTGCACCCCCTCGAGGGCAAGTGTGTCCTTTTTTAAATAAGGAAACCAAAACTGCACACAATACTCTAGGTGCGGTCTCACCAGGGCCCTATACAGTTGCAGCAAGAGCCAACGTCGAAGGTTCAAATATCCTGTTGCTGTGAATGTTCGCCTGTCACAAGCCAGCTATCCCTGTGGTAATGTTTCTGACAGCATCTTAAAACCTAAATGGAAGGGGAAGTATTCAAATGAGAAAGTAGCTGTCACTTTTGGCATTGTGACATCGCTGCATGACACAAAACGACAACAACAACTTGATTTATATAGCGCCCTTCACGCCGGACAGCATCTTGGAATGCTTAAAGGTAGGGCATTTATTACCAAAGACCAATGCTGTATTGCACTAGACAGCTTGGTTATCTAAAGAAAATTAAATGTACTGTATTACTCTATGTAAACAACATGCATGTGAGCCTGCGCTCTTGAGAAGAGAAAGCCTGTGTCAAACTCACAATTCACTTCTATTTATTGAACTGTTCAATTCCAGTTTCAAGTGTAACATTTCAAAGATGGTGACAAATGAACTAAAGAGGAGGAATAAAATCTAAACAATGAATATAGTTCCTGTTTTCTCAGTCCTGGTGTGCAGACCCATTACTTTTTAATGCAATTCATTGTGTAAATGTAAACAGCAATATCTATTTGAAAAGCTTTCTGTTAAGTTGGACCATTAATAATGCAGGAACCTTGTTCTGCAGAATTGAATGTAATGATAAATGGGAAGATTAGGCTGGAGGACTGATGTTGTTCTCCTTGTAATATAATACGTGCATTTGATATAGAGCCTTATCACGTCTTGTAGACGTCTCAAAGTGTTACAGAATGTAGTGTAAAGTGAATTGACTGTATATTTTGTGGGTGAAACACGGCAGCCAATTGCCACAGCAGTGTCCCACAAACAGTCGTGGATTGAGTGACCAATTTTTTTTAAGGAGTTATTATCCCCTGAAAAGCGATCCACCAATCGACTAACAATTGGGTTCCTACTTACTGCGAGGCAAATGGAGGCATGTGGAGTAAGGAAACTTGCCCAACGTTTCTCCATGCTGGGATTCAAATCCAGATCCTTCGCTTGCGAGGCGAGTGCTCTAACCACTGACCTACAATACCCAAGTGGGGCATGCTTTCATCTGAGTTCTGTTTTCTAACTTGCGCTTCTATCTTGACAGCAAATGAGAACATCGGTACTTCAAATTGAATTTATATTATAGTATTTATAACAAAAGTATCAAATGTAAAATAGTTTTGAGCTTTAATATTTTGTGTTACTCTTAAAATGTGGAACTAATGTGACAGAAGCTAAAGCAAGGGCTTATTTTGAATGGTTGACCTTCTATACATATCACTTTATACTTTTCAAAAGGGGCACTTGGCCTGCATGTCTGGAGTTAAAGGCTTGAGTGACCATTTTTCATCATAACAACTTTCATTTTCATAGTGCCCTTCACGCAGGGTAGCATCTCGGAGCACCTTGGAAAACAAGTTTTCCCATTATATGTGAACTGAATACAGCACAGCAACAAGCAATAAAATTGGCTTCTGTGTCTGCATGGTAGAGAATGGTGAACTTGAGTCCGGATTCTTGCTCCCGATCACTATGCAGTATGTGTGCACATTGGTTGAGCACAGGAAAAATCTGCCAACATTCGCTCAAACTAGAGTGGCCGATTGGGTGAAGTTCTCAAGATTTGCGAGCGTGTGTGGGTGTCTGGCCCAGCTTTGCTGCCTCTCTTCCTACCTTCAAAACCCTCCTAAAAATGTATCTTTTCAAAAGTGCTTTTGGTTAACATTCTTAAATTTCCCTTCCCCCGCTCCTTAAAATTATAAGAAAAATGTTCATCTTACATGAAAGGCTATAGCAATCTAAGCAGTGTTTTCCACCCATTCCCTCACAATATGAACTTTCTAACCAGCAGAGGGCACACTTCATATACCACAAAACGTCAGCACTTTCGTGAAAGTTTAAGTAACTGTTCGAAATTCTAAAATTCTAATTCTGCACTGAATAAGATACAGTTAAACATTTTGTCTTCTGAAAGGATAATGGGATTGGAGAAGCTTTAATGGAAGAACTAGCAGTAGCTGAACGGCCTCCTTCCTGTGTTGTAACTTTTACAATTATCAACATAGTTTAAAACCAGTGGTGGCCAACCTGTGGTCTGTCTACCCCCACCCCTGTGTTTGACTGTTAGTGATTTAATAATAATCCCTCCAAAGCCAAAAACAATAATAAACATTGGTCATTTTCAATCTACGACTGTTTGTGGGACATTGCTGTGTGCAATTGGCTGCCGCGTTCGCCCACAAATGTACAGTCAATTCACTTTACAGTGTGTTCTGTGAAGCGCTTTGAGGCGTCCTCCCGACGAGAAAAAAGCGCTATATCAAATGCAAGGATTATTATATTATGGCATCATCACAAAATATTCAATCAAGAACATTTTATTTTGTTGGCCAACCATAAAGGTTGTGGGCCTTCTCTCTCCTCCCAGCCCCCGCCTCCACAAAGGTTAGCCACCACTGCTTTAAATTAACATTCATGCAAAAAAGCTGCATTGTCCCATCTTAAGAAAATATTCATACTACAAAATGATCTAATCACGGCGCAAATACCTGAACATTTAATTACCAAATAGGAGATTATAACCGTTATTGCCTAGCCGTGCTCCTAGATAAGGTTGTGAGTGTGGAGGTTCATCTCAGGATAATCTGGCAGAGCACGACTTGTTCCAGTTACTTGTGAAATCGTGACTTGTGGAGCCCTGGAAGAATCCACAGCTCAAATGTAAATTGGCGTCCGTCGTTTTCTTAGTCGTTTAATCATGATTGAATTTTTCTAATGCACTTTCACTTGCATTCAGGATGGTGGTTCTCTGGATCAGGTGCTCAAAGAGGCCAGGAGAATTCCAGAGGAAATCCTGGGTAAAGTCAGCATTGCAGTAAGTATAGTAATGGCTGGGAGCACATAGAGAATGAACACAGAGTTAGAAATGCACTCAGTATCCATAATGGAGCAAAGAGAAATGTTCTGCTTTAATTTAACTAAATGTCATGGTTCAAGAATATTCTACAGTACAATAATTCATAATTTTAACACTACAAAACTTTATAATTTTAACGTCACAGGATTTTTTTTTAGCAATTGCAAATAGTATGTAGTGGTGACAGGAGTCAAGAATGTTGCATCTTCAAATGTTCTGCATTGACTCCTTGGATCTCTCTATGCCACGTGTTATTCCCTGGCTGGAATCTGATTCCCAGACCTCTGCCTGTGCCAGCCTCTCAGTTGAGAATAAGAGTAAAATGCTTTACTGACCTTCTGGTTTCCTCCCTCTTCTTGGCTTGGTACACTACACTCCCCCCACTTTCCCATTCTATTTGTGCTGAATTGTTACGATCCCCCTCCCAAGCCTTCTAAGAGGTTACATCAAATGCAAGAATGATTATTATTCCCATATCCCTTCTTGTGCCCTCTCCTGGAACCAGTCAACTTGACTTCCCTTTTCCTCACCTTACCAGCTCATCCGATTTCCTGTTTCAGCATAGAGCTGCTGAAGATGCATTGGTGACTAAAGTGTCAGCATGGCTCGATTGGTAGGGCTCTTGCCGCTATTGAAATTAACTCCAGAATGATCTCTCATAATTCCTGAACATATTTCCTTAGCAACAAAGAATAGTAATAATATAGCAACAGTGACAGATGCTATTAACATTGATTTAGCAAATACTGCAGCTGAAGCTTAGATGAGATCACATGCAAGTGCTGTATTTTCAGGAATATTTTTGTTTGAAGGGTAATTGATGTAACCCACAACTTAATGTGCCCACTTTAATATCCTATAGCCTAGCTGCACCAAGCTTGTCAGTTCGAATTGCAGTAGACTTTTTTCTGCATACTCATTTATTGTGCTTGTACAGTTACTTACTTATCAGACGGTCCAATAACTAATCCTCAAGTTATATTTACACATCACCTTTCATTTTAAAAGTCTTGAGACACCTAACAAACATAGTGGAGCACCAAGGAAGGAGGCAAGAGATTAAGAATGTGTTGGCCACTTCTACCCTCAGACTTACTATTTTCAGTGTTGTAATACTTTGATCCATTGAAACAGGAGCAGGTCAAGCAGCACATCTAACCTGTTTGTGGAAATGTGTGTTGGAAATATTATGTTGACAAACCAGGAGGACTCCTAATTTATCTGTGGAGATTTTTTTCCAAAACAGTTAAGTCTGTTACGGAAATGCAGTGTTCATTTATAATTCTCACCAATCATTTCCGACCATCATTTAGCAAGCTTTTTTTAAAAAAATTGCCATTTGAACATTTGTCCTGTACCAATTTTGAATGGTGTGAAATTAAAGTGCCTGTTTCAAAGTGCATTTCTTCTTCAGGTTCTTCGAGGGTTGACGTATTTAAGAGAGAAGCACCAAATCATGCACAGAGGTGAGATGGAGATGAGATTTTCCTATATTCCTATATTACGTGACTGCTGCTCTTGAGGATGACTGTGGGATCCGGAGATCAGCATTCTAAGCTTTAATTAAATCTCTAGAATGCTGCTGGGGAATATTTTATTGGTTTTGTCTTTATTTTAGTAACTAATACATTGACTTCGGACACAACAACAAAATTACATTTCTGTGGCGCCTTTCATGTCCCAAGGCGCTGGACAGATAGAGTTATGGACACTCTCGTTTTACCTTAATGATTTTTTGTGAGTTTATAGCACCCTTCTTCACATAGGAAAGCATCTAGGAGCACTTCACAAAGATAGGGGTGGGTGCTGAGAGTCGGAGAGGGTGATGGAGGATGGAGATTTGAACATGACTTGGTTCTAGAAATAGTTTTTTAGAATTTAAAGACCAATAGAGAGGGGGCTAGATGTGAAGCAATATGGAGGGGGGAGACATTAGGTTCACAAACTAATTCATTTTTTATTGTCTTTATTTGTAATACGTAGTTTAACGTCAAAATGCCAAAATAAGAGCAGTAGTCTTTTTTCCCTACTTTGCCTCATTCTTGTTCCTTTTCTTCCAAACTTCAGACGTGAAGCCATCCAACATCTTAGTGAATTCCCGTGGTGAAATTAAACTTTGTGATTTTGGAGTTAGTGGTCAGCTGATCGACTCAATGGCAAACTCCTTTGTGGGGACTCGCTCCTACATGTCTGTAAGTCTTTGTAGCTTCTCTACAGTTTAAAAGCATAGGGCTGAGATCACAGTGACCCACTATTCTTCCCTATGTGTTAACATTCGTTTTTATATTCTTCTGCGTGATGTGTGTGTTGCATTATCAAAGCTGTTCGTTTCTAGCTGTATTGCTCAGATAGCTGTGACGGAAGATGGAAGCATTGCAAAATGTAATGCTCGCCAGATATTTAACCTACTTTGCAGGGTCCTCACCAACCTTCCCCGACCCTCAGAACTTCTTCTGTTCTGAGAACATCACTGTAATTCTAAAATGAGCCTTCTTATTTTTAGTTACCCTTTCAATAACCTACCTTTAGACGGTTTTCAAATGTTATATTTTTATATGGATCCACAATTGTTCCTCCCAAAACTACCAATGTAGATTAGAAAGTAGAACTTGAGAAATGTACAGAAGTACCTCTGTGCTCTCTGAAATTATAGCCATTGTTATATAAAAAGGGTTTAGTACAATTTAATTTGAGAAAATGGTAGTTGCAATCTTTGTAGTACAGACAGGTAGTATTAAGTTGAAATGAAAAGGTTGATGAGGTGCAATTTTAGTGATGATGGGAGCACCAGCAGAATGAAGATGTAATGACAGGCTAAATCAACCCTTTTCTTTTGATGGGAAGATAAAAATCATGTGACCTGGTTGGAATTAGTATTTGCTCCATAATCACTGGACAGGAATCAGCAAAGCCATTGATTGCTGCAATAGCGTTGATTGAGATTTCCATCCAAAAATGAGAGCTGACAGGTTAGTCTAAATCAGGGCAAGGGGTTTGAGTAATTGACAATCTCAAACTTTCTGGTGGGTTAATCGATTCGGTGATTATAGTCATTACATTTTACAGTCATTGCATTTTGGTCATTACATTTTCATTTCAAGACTCTTTAGGGTGAATTCCACTCAGTTAAAAGGGTGCTAATGCGATAAATGATAATTTATTATACAGCAATACAAATGGCATTGAAATATCTTATGAACGGCCACCTCCCCTGCACCATCACATTCAATGTCTTCTCCATTCCGTCACCTCTTTGACAAACCTAGTAAAGTTTCAGCACAAACTCAAATCTATGCAGGATGCATCTGTCTGTCCATAGAGATTTGATAATAGCAACAACAAATTACATGTGTTTAGCAGCTTTCACGTCAGGAGGGCATCCCGAGGCACCTGATGTGGAGTTGTCTAAAAGCAAACCTAAATTTAGAGCAATTCAGATTTAGTACAGATTGCAAACTGTGAATGGTTAATGATATTGAAGCGGTGAAATTCCCTTCTCTTTCCACAACTGGGGTCATTAACTTTGAGAGGGTGAAAAGAAGAAATGTGAAGTTTTTTTGTCTCCCTCTGCTTACATTCCCTGCCAATTCCTATCCTTTTTCTGTCTGTCTGGACATTTCTTGCCTCTCTGGCTTCCCATTACCATTTAATCATTTGCTGCCGTTGCTTTCTTCTGTGGTAACGGTTACTGCTTAGTCATTATCCATTAACATTGAGAGCAGAATTGCCACACAACTAACTGCATTAAGGGCATTCCGTTCTCTTTTGCCAGAGAATGAACCCACCCTACAAATACTGTACCATTACTTTTCATTTCTTTTTAAAAATCTTACCATGTATAGGATATTGCATTGTTGCCATGTGATATCATTTGTGCCTGACATGCTGGGTCTCAGTTTATGTAAGTTGCTACACTTTTTTTTCCTCTTTGGCAGCCTGAGAGATTGCAAGGCACCCATTACTCTGTGCAATCCGATATCTGGAGTATGGGGCTATCCCTGGTGGAGTTGGCCATCGGCAGGTATCCCATCCCCCCTCCTGATACGAAGGAGCTCGAGGCCATCTTTGGGCGGCCTGTGATGGATGGACCAGCAGGAGAACCTCACAGTACGTCACCCAGAGCATGGGCTCCGGGTCGTCCTATCAGTGGTAAGAACAAGACAGATTTGCTTCTTAAGCTTGTTTTTGGAATCTATTTTACTTTAAATCATCTTATTTTGTGCTGTTTGAATCTACTGCCAATCTTTGCTCTACAAACATCAAGTTGGCTGCATCCAATAACTTTTCTTTCACCAGCTTTAGTGATTTCACACATTTCCAGTCATCAGATACCAGATTTTTTAAAAAATGTCACTGCTAGAAACAGTCTATGCTATGCTATTAGTATTCCCACTATTTAAATCCTGACACCATGACTAATCCAGGATCATTCACTTCCCATAATTGAGCTATCGTCCTTTCAGAAATGGGCAAGCACTTTGAGACAAGCTGTCAGTCCAGAGATCTGTATTTACAACAGGGGTTTTATTGAGAAATCTGAATAAAGCTGCCATGAACCAAAGCATAAGATCTCAGTCTTTCCCATCCCATTTTAGCTCCTCTCGTTAACTCCTCTCGTTTCTCTTTTCACCCTGCTCCCTTTGTACTATTGCAAATATTAGTGCTCCATCTTGCTCTCTCAGCAAGAGAAAATTAGTGACCACTATTAGGAGACTTGGGTCTCCTAATTGCTGTGCGTGATTGGCTAGCGTGTTTCGCCCACAAAATAAAGTAAATTCACTTTACATTATATTCCGTGAAGCGCTTTGAGACGTCGTGAAGATGTGATAAGGCGGTATATCAAATACAAGGATTATTATCATTATCGTTGTTATTATTGGGTGCTTCGGACTCTTAACACATAACTACAATCAAGTCAATCTCTTCCAGTGTTCATGCTTCCAGGTGCTAGGAAGATCAAATCTCTCAGTTGTAATAAGCGAAATCTTTGTATTCTTAATAAGTTGTATTGCTAGCAGGCTGTATTAAATCCGATTCTTGCATGTAGCTGTGTGATACAAAAGAAAGGGAAGAATGAATTGCTTCAACTGACTCACTCTCTTTTTATTGTACAGGACACGAGAGTCGGCCAGCCATGGCTATTTTTGAACTTCTGGATTATATTGTTAATGAGGTTTGTGCTTTCCCAGCATCTTTATACTGTGAGGTTCATTAGCAAATCACATGCTGTAATGAAAGAATATCTCCTCCCCTAAAGTGTTTGTACAAAGACATTTTCCATCGACTTTACTTTAGCCCAATTGCAGTCATCACTAATGTACAGTCCATTTTTTTGGTTCTATTCCAAATAGCTTGAGCAAAGTGAAGTCTGCATCTGGGGAAGATTAATCAGATGTGTACACTCTGTTTTTTCAAGATGACTATTTGGAAGAGTTTATTTTCAGTATTGTGTAACTTTTAATAGTTTTACTGTTGAGGTTGGTTGCCTAATAATGCATGTTAAATTTGCTAAAACTTTGCATAAACTGACTCCTTTTTGTCAGAAGTAGCATGTTGCCCTCTGGAAATTGCATATGATCATTCTATGAAACCACCGCTCGTGATCCTCTTCTCCCTCCCCCCCCAACTGTATCTTTCAGCGACTCTTGATGTGTTCTGGAAGGAGACACATGAATTGGCCTGAGTTTTCAGTGCGTGAGACTATCTGGCAACATTGGGCAGGAAGAACTTTTGCCGTCCTCAAGAGAGCAAACTGACTGTTTTATTTTTCATTCCAGTCTCCTCCAAAACTCCCAATTGGTGTCTTTACACATGACTTTCAAGAGTTTGTGAATAAATGGTGAGTTGTACTGGGTTGCTTACAGTAAATTCCATCTTGTGAACATTATGATTCCTGGTAGTGATCCTAATGAGCCTTTCAGGAATGGCAATCAAGCCGATGTTTAATTAGTCATTAAGCAAGCAGCCATTTTGAAGTGGTCAACACAGCGTCAACCGTTCTCTGGTATTCTAGCATTGTGCTGAACCATTGATGCATTTGGGTAGGACAAAGGCAAAGTTGGGATGGGGTCATCAAACAGGACATTAATAAGTTGAGAAGGCTAGCTAACCTTTCTTGTTATTCTTAATTTAGAAATTAAAAATGAAGCTGTGTAGGTGGAGTTAATGTCCACTATTGTTGCACAAAGAGTAGTATGAAGTTGTGAACAAAAAATAGTGCTTTATGCTGTTGCTGGATTGGTGCTGTGTTATTGAAGGGTGTGCGTGCATTGGAGAATTAGGATTTGACCTCTGGAAGGTCTGCTTTTATTTTGTTAGTCATTTATTTACATTTGGGATCTGGAAGCTTTTGTGAGGAGAGGGGGAGTGGGTAGCTGCAAATAATTAATGCTGTTGGCATTGCAAACAACGATGCTGTGGTGAGGAGATTGAGCGGCTTTTTGTAAAAGCTGTGGGATTGATTAAAATGTCTGTGAGGATGGAAATAAACCCTTTCGTTGTGATCTTCGAAACAAAGAGCTGTAGAGATTTGGGTCCTGTTTTTTATATTAATCTTAAAGGTTTGCTGAACACTTTTTTGGTATTGTTCATGCGCTTTCAATTTCACACTCAGCACATGCAACACGTTGGCGTGCGAATGCACGCTCCTCTGAAACCACATGGTGGAGTAATCAACTTATCAGAGTTTGGAGAGGTTTTAAATTGAAGGAAATGTGTTTATATTTGATTGTGGGCCTGCAATGAAATTATGAAAGATCAATATTCACTTTTAGTTGTAGAGAAGAGTTGATTTAGGTGTGTTGAACAGCTCCGATTATCATTGGTGGGGGGGGGGGAGAATTTCTTTTAATGTTTGCTAATAAGATTTTACTTAATTTTAGCTTGTTCAAGAATCCAGCTGAAAGAGCAGACTTGAAACTTCTTATAGTAAGTACAACATTTTCGCTGTTGAGCCCTTTAGAAGTACAGTAGATAGACGATTGTCTTCACTAAAAGACGAGCCCCATTGTGAACCAGCGAATAGCGCAGATTATTGGATATCACACAAGTATAAATACAGTGCAAACTGAAGTTATTCCATAAGGAGTTATTCTGTCATAGCAGTACATACTAAGTTCTTTGTTCTCTCACACATTTTTTAAAATGTTTTTAAGAGCTGTGGGATTGATTCAAATGTAAAATTAAATTACCTTTTAAAAATTAAATTGAATTTTTAAAAAATTAGATCTTGAAGACTGAGGCAGATGGATTTTTGTTAGGTCAGGGTATCAAGGGATATGGGGCAAAGGCGGGTAATTAGAGTTGAGATACAGATCACCCATGATCTAATAGAATGGTGGAGCAGGCTCGAATGGTCTTTCCCCTGTTCATTATTTTTTTCTATTTGAGTCGATCTAATTTTCTATTTTATCCTAAATCATAATACACTTGAATCTTTGTTTAACATCTGCTTGAATTGTTAAATGTAATACGTTATTTCCTTTTGAAATTTTCGAAGTTCTGTTTTCTACTTTGATCTATATTTGTTTTGCAGTTTGGCTGTTTTGGCTTTTTTGGCAGCTTTGCGATGTATAGTTACCAAATATGCAGCAAGTCCATCCCTGTTGTTGGGTGGGGGGGGCAAGAAAGCTCTTTTAATTGACTGCACCATGTGATATAAACAGATCATACCATTTTAACTCTGATAAAATTCCAACATGTTTTGACATTTCCTCAAGTGAAAACCAGAATACTTTTGATATCTGCAAACCTGAGTTACGATTCTTTGCTTACACACAATGCAGCGATGCCCTTGCTGGAACTGTGAATGGTGAAGTGACAATTTGAGGGCACCAGTTATGTATTCAGTCTCATACAGATCATTGGAAATCTCACACTTTTGGTGTAATCATGCTCTTTTGAAATTAGAAACACTATAATTGTGTTTCATTAAGGTTCAAGTCTCTGGTAGCTGTCCTGAGATTTCCTTTGTTGTTCGAGTCTCCAATATAATAATAATAATAATAATCCTTGCATTTGATATAGCGCTTTTCACATCGGGAGGACGTCCCAAAGCGCTTCACAGAACACACTGTAAAGTGAATTGACTGTATATTTGTGGGCGAACGCGGCAGCCAATTGCGCACAGCAGTGTCCCACAAACAGTCGTAGATTGAAAATGACCAATTTATTATTGTTTTGGGTTTTGGAGGGATTATTATTAGGCTCTGTGTGGAGTAAGGAAACTTGCCCAAGGTTTCGCCCTCTGCCTGGAATTGAACTCAGGTCTCTCACTTGCAAAGCGAGTGCTCTAACCACTGAGATTGGAAGAACATGTGACAGTCTACAATAGTATCTTGTAAAATTTCGACTTCTTTTATTCCTTCACAGACTCACACCTTCATTAAACGCTCTGAAATCGAGGAAGTGGATTTTGCTGGTTGGTTGTGTAAAATCATGGGACTGAACCAACCCAGCACCCCAACACGCACCGCTGTGTGAAGAACGACGGACGCCCCCCCCCCCCCCCCTCCCCATTGCTCCCATCCACCTCCACCAACGTCTGTCAAGCGCTGCCATTTTACATACGGCACCAATTGGAACTCTCCATGCACTCAGAAACTACATGAGGAGTTTTGCATCCAGGCAGTGTTGGCTATTTTTTTCCAAAGCAATGTCTTTCTTTAGCTGGATCAATAACTTGGTTATATTTTTGGGTTTCAACCTGGTCAAGTATAAGCTACCCTGAAAGATGTCCTCTCTGAAAAGTAGTACCCAGCCTGTACATGACGGCTTTCCAAAAGATGCAGCAGGCTTATCCCTCGAATAACTGAGCCATGCAGATGAGACAGGTCCTAGTTCAATCCCTGATCTTGCTGAATAGTTGGTGTTCTAGGGATGCTGCTATAGACTTCAGGCCCCCAGATTAGGTAGAGAAAAATCAGCAAAGTTAACTGTTGCCTGATTGTTCAGCCAGCAACTTCTGCTGGAGAGACGTGTGTGTAGATACCGGGTGAGTTCCGTGTTGGGTTCTGCAAGCGTTTATTGCACTTGCACATCAATAGCAGGTATATGGGTGAGGTATCGGAGGCAGTTGTTATTTGTGGACCATTAATCCAGTAGAAAGTACAATCTTCAGTAGAGAAGAAAATAAAATTATAGCTAACGGTACTTTACACTTAAGAGTAACTGAACTTCTGAGAAGCCTCATTAATTCATCCATTTAAAGTGAACAATTCTTTTTCCCTTGAATTCTGCTAATAGTCAAAGTGCACAGGTTCAGTTAAAAATATAACATAGTTCACACCACTGATGTGTCTCAGGGCACAGGATCAGAAAATTGATGTTCCCCTCTTAAATATTGATGATGGCTGTAATGTCTTCCTCCCACCCACCCCCAAAAATTAGCAAGTAGGGTTATGCAAAATTCTGTTATGTCATAAGGGTATACAAATTGGAGTAGCACGCTTACATTTTGTACAGCATACGGGTTTGTTTAGAAAGCAAGGAATTAGCAGGTAGGTTGCCAATCCTTGTCAGTGAATTAACCTCTGGCTGCTCTTGAACTTTAGATGCTGAAATAATTTTCAAAAAGGTAAAGTGGAATAGTGTAACTGAACTTTCCATTGTTGCCGACTGTCTTAGTGCTCTAGAATTCAGCCAGTGATGGACTGGGACAGTAAATTAACATCCAGTACTGTATTCCTTTCTTGATTAATACATGTGCTGATAGCAGAAGGAATGATTTATCTTCTAGAATCTCTTCCAAAGCTGAAATTGGAAAAAAAGGAATTTGTTGATGAGAATCCTATTATTTTTCATAATGACTGGCTGCCCAATATCAGTGCATGCATTCAGTCTGTCAATGATTGAGGTGCACAACAAATGCCCTGGTTTGATCTCCAGTCTGTGCTGAATTAGCTGATATCACTTCAAGTGGCAGTAAGGCTCTGTAGTTGGCCTCTGTATCGTAGACTGAGTGAAAAATCAACTAAGGTTACCACTCCTGATCACTATCCAATGACCCCTCCCTACTGTAAATGCACATGTATTGGGAGAGGACAGGATCAGGTTTGGCATAATACCTCCAACCCACACTCAGATCTGAGGATTCAACACTTAGGTACTTGTGCCTGTGGAACTGTAGCCAGCAGAAAGAAGATAATAAAGGGAGAAAATAAGAATCACAGACTGATCATTATATAGTGAGCAAATTTCAGTTTCACAATCTAACCTCCACAGTTTCACTGCCTATCCAATGTTTAGGTAAATACGTAGGGTAGATAGCTTAATCTATGAAAATGTGCGCTCCAGTTCTGTGCAACATTTTCTTTGGCTTTAGTAAGTGTTTAGTTAGGCTGCTTTGTTTCAACAAACTGGGATAATTTTGTCTTATTTTGCTGGGCAGTTACCTTGCCGACCTGCCCAGGTAAGTGATAAACATTTGTAGAACTCATTTACACACCCTGGTTTAAAACGGTTACAACACTGCAATCGGGCTGCCCTGTATCATCAGTCAATGCATTCCTTCATTCAAAAAACTTTCTAATTCGCTTGTTGACATTTGTGGATTTCTTTCTGTTCATTTTTTTAAAAAAACAAAGTTCCTTCACTCAGCTATTTAGTCTTTAAACAGACTTCAAAAGATTTTTGTCCCCTTTTATATTCCCTGTAAGAATCAGAAGTGCCAAAACTAAATCTGCAGGTCTTATGAACTTCAGTGTATTTTTGAAAGTGGTTACCTCACATCTTTTCAGTATGTACAGAGCACTGGTAAGTTTCAATATACTTGTCCTGCCAGGACAACATTTTCCATTATGGCTTTGGGCTGAGGAGTCTTAGTGAGGAGACAGACTTGTATCTGATAAATGCATTCAAATGACATGACCAGAATTCTTCAGAAACCAGACTGTCTAATCTTCAAATTCAGTTCTGAAAGCTACAGTGGCCTAACTACTCTTCCTAAAAGTGGTTAAAGAATAAATCCAGGGTTGTGATTATGTCTTAGCACTGTACTGTTTAATTGGTAAGTTGAGCTGTAAGAACGTATGGGGTCTACCAATGGCAACTTTAGGTTTGACTGTGTGTGTTAGGAATTGATCTTAAAGAGGGAAGTACTTCCTTTTTAAATTCCACCTAAAGGAAGACATTGCTTTTTTTTATCCAACTGCTTTTCCTTCAGTTATCCAAATTATAGTTGCTTCGTGGGGGGTTTGTACAGAGAATTTTAGCATGATCTCTGTTCCAGTTCTCTTACTATAGGTCACTTTTTTAAAATTTGTTTTACTTTGCTACTTTACTGCTAGCTGGCTTGCAAGCTGGGGGGAATGTGATTTACTTTGGATCAATAGGGATTGATTTTGCAAGTGTTGGCTTTATAAGTGTTCTGTTACTGGTTTCTCATTGCGGGTAAAATGTGTACAACAAACTGTGATGTCCCTCTCGTTATACAGCATTCGTTTTCAAACCGTCTTCTAATTACCTGGCTTACTTTTAAAGATTTTGTGTAATGTATTCAGCTGATGTTTCTGAACTAAAACAATCTGGTTTGTTTTGAAGTATACATTTCACAGAACTCAGTGCTGCTTAAAGTTGTGTGTTTGCGGTGCCTAGTTTGGTTCAAGGATCTTTTATCCCAGATTTCATTCAAAATTCGACCCCTGGTTAATGAATGAATATTTTTGAGGATAAGAATCTAATCATCCATGAAGTGAACAAGCCGCCTCTGTCAACCACTAAACACTCCAGAGGGGCCAGCCCACCAATCTATTGTGCATGTGACTATTGCCTGTATACAGGAAGGGAAAAGTTTAAACATTGTTTCCTGCTGATTTTTGAGAAAATTGTATAGACCGAGAATTATGCCGTGCTTCCCAATTCCATTTGTTTTGTGGGTCGGTGTACGTAATTTTAAGAGGATGCATCCTCCCACTTGAAAATAGTACACGTTAAAATCTAATTTATGTTCAATGTTTCCATTAGAGAAGTAGACTAGACTTATGAAAGACAATAAATGGGAATATAATTGCAATCATGCCATTATAAGAAGTGGGTTGGAATCAGGAACAGAATGCATTTGTGAAACAAATTAGAAAAGGCAAAGTTCCCACAAACCTGTTTCGTGTATTATTTAAAGGGGAACTTACACCCAAATTGTTTTTCCTTATTTTTTTAAAAAAGGCCATTTATGCTTCTGTTACCAAAATATACTGTGTTTTGAGGCAAATTGCGTCTTGAGTGCACTTTGGGGGGAAATGTGATTCCATTTAAAAGTGCCTGGGGGAAAAAATGAACTTTAATTTAAAAAAAAGTTATGAAACCAGTTTCATCTACTGAGGCGTAGAAGGTTAAAGAAACGCACTGTGATTAGAATCATGGAGTTCAGTTTTGTGTTGGGATCTTAGTTTTCTGTGTTGTGCTCCTGCATAGTTCTCCTATGGGATTGTATATGCCTATGCCTTTAAATAAATACATGTATGCTGTTATTGTTAAGGCACTGGTACATATTGGTGTATGTCACTATATCAGGTTTATAATGTGTCTAATGCACTTGTTCCCTTTTGTGAAGCCCGTGGGCATCTTGTGCTACTGGTTGTGGGTTAGAAAAATAAATCACTGTAATGTAAGAAACTGATCTGGCTTATTAAAACAAAGTGAAATATCACCAGTAGCACGAGTACTATACTGATTGTTTTTAAGCTTTTTTTTAAAAAAAGAGGGTTTTGCAGAGCAAATGATGTGGACTGAATGTATAATTTAATCAAATGTTGCAGAAGTTATTGAAGTGGCAATTGTTACATGTAAATTAGCAGCAAAATGTTATACTGTTTTTTGTCTGAGGCAAATGAACCAAGGAGAGCTATTTCTCTTGTTATTTAAGATTAGTACAGACTGTGTTTTATGATGGAATGCTTTTGTTAGGAAATACCTGGGTTTTGCTATAGCTGTGGCGCTTGATCATGAAGTGAAAATGGCTTGTTCACTCTCAGCAGTCTGTCAGTGCATATTTTTAACTTTAAGAAAAAAAATCCATTGTAAATAAATGGCACTTTACATTAAGCTGGCGAACTTTTGTTCTTATGCTTACAACCAATTAAAACTAGTTAAATGCTTGGTGAACTGTTATTGAAGCATTTCCTTTTATTTGTTCACCACCTTAAATATCTCCGTGTTGCACTTCACTGTAAAGTAGATGCTTAAAATTGCAAGGCAAGATAAAAATCTATGCCATGGCTGTCTACAAAATACAGCCACTGCACTTACAGTAAAGCCAGTGAAGTGCTTTTGAGACGTGTTCCCAATGTGAAACGTTGTTGTGTCAAAAGCAAAGATTTTATAGGGTTATTTATTATTTGGGATGTGAAAGAAATCGGCTCCGATTCAGAAACTCGAGTAAGATCTAAAGATAAGATTGTAACTTGGATTTCTGATTTGATGCCCTTGCCGATTTATCTGGAACAAGAAGTCACCTTTTCAAAAGCTGCCTCATATCAAACCACTTGATTTACCTTGTTCTGGGATCTTTCCCTTCACCCCCACCAATACATACACAGCTGTGTATGTAGAAGCAGGTTAATATTTGTGTCGTTTGAAGGATGAATCTAGAGCAGATTGGCTGCTGAATTTGCCTTTTATCAATTTACATATTCTGTATTATACATGTTCATTATTTACAATGTGTCCTTTTTATTCATTGTCAATGGATTTTGGTTCCAGCCACCTTATGATTTAGGTGAATGTTGAGACCACCATTGGCGGTTGGGCTTTCAGCTTTTCTGCCCCCACCCTTTGGAACTCCATCCCACAATCCTTCCCTTCGGTTGTCTCCTTCAAGGCGTCTCAAGACCTTCCTCTTCGACCACACTTTTGGTCACCCTCCTACATCCACCCTCCCTGTCCTCTGCCCCTTTTGATCCAAACCCCCAAACCAGGTGCACATTCTTGACTGTCCAGCGCTTTGGGATGTACTCCTGAAGTGAAAGCACAATATAAATGCTATTTGTTGTTGAGTTATTATTTTCCTAGCCCACTTGCCTTTTCATAGGAACGCAGTTTTTTTCCCCCAATATTTAGATTTAGATTTCCTGCCTCAAATTTTTCGCAAATCTAAGTTAATTGACTAACTTGTCACATTGGTTCTTGAATGCTGCCTGCATAACTTAGCTGCCATGTTTGTCTCTATAACACTCACCTAACATTCCTAATTTATCTTACTTTCTAAGCACTTTTGAGATGTTTCTTTTACATGTAAGGCTGTATAAATGTAAGCAGCCATTATTGCTCTGTGGCACAGCCAAACTAAGGTCTTGCCTTCCCACTCTGATGGTTTAGATGTTTGTTAAAGATCCTAAGACATTATTTCAGAGTAGGGAGTGTCCGGGCAATATTACTCACGTGTACAAATTTACCAAAAACAACTGAATTGGGTCACTTATCTCATTGCTATTTATGGTGTATTGCTGCAATACTTCAACCGCCAGTATTTATTTACATAACAGCCCATTACACTTTAAAGTAATTCACTGTGTGAGGTGTTACGAAACGTGTTGACATGAAGGCACTATTTCAAATGCAAATATATTTTAATTTTGACTTTGTAACACACTTCCAAGATATTAGTGGAGAAACAGAAGATTTAAGTTCTGTGGCTTGAAATTTTTGCAATCCTGGAATTAGGATTACAACGATTCCAGTTCCTTTTGAATAACACATTCTAATGTAATAGATTAAGTATTTAGCCAGAAGCTTCAGCTGCAAGGATAGGCTTCCATTTCCCGGGAACCCAAGTGAGTTCTCCACCGTGCCTTTAAAGAGAGCCTTCATAGATCTTCATTTGCAGATTCCTTCAAGGATAAACATCAGTCGCAGTTCAATCTGCTCTGAAAGCTTTTGCCTTGCACATTCTTGGCACTCTGCTTTGGGTTGTAGCCTGGAAACTCAGATTATTCTGTGAAGTATCCTTCAAAGTTTTTTTTTGGATAGTCACAGCCGTCAGATCTGTAGGTTGAAATCTTCCATAAATTGTATGCGTCTGTTTTATGCCAACCCCATCACCCCCTTAGTCTTTGAGCCTTTCCCTCTACCATTAGTTCATACTGTAATATACCAATAGTTCCAGGGAAGAGTTGGTCAAACATCATTTCAATATCTGAACATAGACCCATTTCAGACCTCTGGCACAGCCATTTCAAAGTAAAACTACCCAGTCCATCTAGTAACAATAAATCTGATATTTTGATCACTGATGGAATAAGCATTGCACTTGAGTACTTCATTCATGTGTAGAGAGAGAATCTTGCTTTTGGATACAAGACCTTTCTTCACACCAAGTCTCTTCTACAGGATTACCAATTTGGAGCTCCTGGTCTCTCTCCCCTCTGTCTACCATCTCTCGCCCCTCTGCCTACCTCCCCACCATCGGTGGTCAGGCCTTCAGCGTCTCTGCCCCCACCCTTTGGAACTCAATCCCAGTCTTTACCTAATCCTCTCCCTTGCTTCCTTCAAGGCCCATCCCAAGACCCTCCTCTTCGACCGCGTCTTTGAGTCACCTTCCTACCGCCACCCTCCCTGCCCTCCACCCCATGTGCTCCCAATATCCTCGGGTTCAAATCCAACTGTCCAGCGCCTTGGGACATCCTCCCGACATAAAAGGTGCTGTGTAAGTAATTTGTTGTTGATATCAGAGCTAAACCAGTTAAAAGTAAAATCAAAATGTTTCCTAATGCAAAGGGTGGTGATAATGTGCAGTGCGTTGCTGCAAAAGGTCTTAAATACAGAATAGATCAGGATTCTTCAAAAATTAAATATATACTTGTGGAGTAAATATACTCTGAGGCACTAGTGGATGTGAAGAGCGAGCTGTTGCTGTTTTAAGGTTATTAAGCGATATGGAGAAAAGGCAGGGAAAAGGGGTAATAAATTTCCTATGATCTCATTAAATGACAGAAGCGATAATGGCAGATTGGATTCCTGTTCCATAGGAGAAAGAAAAACAGGTTGGAAGGCAGTAAGATAATAACACACCACCATGTGTTTCTTGCTCACCCTGCGGTTGACGTCGGCATTTCTCTCGGGAACAGTGGTGTACACAGTTTAGAAGGGTGGTGGTTTTTCACTATTAATTAACTTTAATAACCTGTTAGATCAAAAAATTGTTTTGTTGTTCAGCAAAATAATCCCATAATTGCCTTTTATCATCAGTGTCTTATGTTCTTATTGTCAGTAGACATGGAACAGATGATAACAATAATAATAATAATAATAATCCTTGCATTTGATATAGTGCTTTTCACGTCGGGAGGACGTCCCAAAGCGCTTCATGAATCAATTAAACTGATCAGATCATTGAGAATCGGCAACTGACAGAAAGGTACTTTACATTTACATTGACTTTAATGTGACATTGTTGCTGAGATTTCTTCAGTCCCTTCAGCATATTATAAATACATTTTAAAATTCTTTTTGGTAAGGAATATATGCGCAGTACACTGAATTGGCTTGTTTTAGCAGCACAGCTTTAAATGTAACTCTGAAACCGGGAAGTGTCATAAGAAACCTAACTAAGCACTTCTAGCAGGATTGCACAAATACATATGTTGATGATTGTAACTGTGCTAATTCGATTTAACCCATTTCCTGGAGACCTGATGGCTTTGAGGGCAGAGTGGGCATTGCTGACATCTGAAACCAGGAAGGGAATTAATTTAAGATCATCAAAGCCCCAACCATTTATTTAATCATTCTGATTTAAGCACTTGATCGTTGAAAACCCACTGTATTTGTTAGTGGATTTTAATGATTTGTTCATGTTTACGCTGTGTACACAGAAGCTGTCAGAACTGTGTGTGGCAGACAGCTACCCACCCATCACATGGACTAACAGTTGTATAGGGAATCAAGTACATATACCATCCTGTCTGGGTGGGTCTGGGAGCATTCCCTCCTCAAGCAGAACTTGGAAACAAGTTTCAGTAATAAATGCTCTCGTGAGCAGACATTTCCTGCACTATATTTTCCTTTTAGTAATGTGGACTTGCTTCTCTATGAGCACACACACAGAAAATATTTTAAGACGAGTATGGAAACTATGATAAGTTTCAATATTTTTCTTGGTGTGTGTGTGTGTGCACGGCAACATTTTATCCCAGGATGTTTCTCCTAGGAATTGTTGATATGGCACTAAGTAAGTGAGTCCAAGAGTCACAACCATATTATGCGATTGATTCTTGGTCTCATTCATCTCCAAAATTAATAGATCGCATTTTTTTAATCACAAAATTATAATAATAATCCTTGCATTAGTTATAGCACTTTAAATAAACAATAAGTGAAAATAATTCAGTTTCACTTAAGCACCATAGGAAAACAGCTTAACAGACAAATATTCTTGGGATTGCGGCAGACTGGTCCTTATGCCTCTCTGTATGCCACTATAGGTCATTATGCTCTGTTTTCCTTCAGAGAAAAATAGCCCACCTCCACCACTACCTCGGCCCCCAGTCCTCTCCGGTACAGGCTCCGTTATACCACTGTTCCAAACATTGCTTGGTGCACTGGCTCCCCATCCCCCAGCAGACTGGATCCAAGCCTTGACCCTCCCTACCCATCCGACCCTTCTATCATGGACCCTCCCTCTGCTCAAACACTGGCCTACTTCATATCTGCTCCACCCCACCATAGTTTTCAGTGACTCTGTCCTGCTCCGCAGTCCCTCCTCCATCCCCCCCACCCCCCCTTCAAAGCCTCCTTTATTAACTTATCTCTTCACCTTCACTTTATCACCTCCCCTCCCCATCAAGTTCTGAAGCAATTGTGTGATCACTTTGAGACATCCTCACAATGTGAAAGGCACTATATAAATGTTATTGTTATTATTGTGGTGTGTGACATATAACAATAATAATTATCTTGCACCTGATGCAGTGCATTAGCACATCAAAATGTTTCAAACTACTTCACAGGGCTTCTCTGTGAAGTTAGTGACTATGTATTTGTAGACAAGCGTGACAGCCAATTTTGCATATAGTGGTAACCCAAGAAACAACCATGAAGTGAATGATCATGTTTTTTAATGAGGCTTTGTATTTATAAAAAAGGGAATAACAAAAGAGGGATATAATATTGAGAAGTATGTTGGCCCTAACACTCCGAGAAACTCCCTTCTGTTTCTGAACTAGAGGTGGGACCTTGGTTTAACTTCATCTGAAGGTTAGTTAGACAAGTTTTTATTCAACTTTAGGTTAGTAGTTAGCATAGATTATAAAGATATACTCCAGTTATATTTCCCAGCCACTCCCTGTTGAAATTGACTTTCCTCAGAGTAGGAACAGCTTCTGATTTTCCTATCATGCAAATATGTTCTGTAAATATTTACATTAGTGAACAAAATACTACTGGTGACTAGTCGGTGATCCTCATCTCCTCTCTTCCTTGTCGTTGGAGAAAAGAGATGTGCTAAAATCCCTCTTCCTATCAATAATGTAAATCTTTTTATAAAGCCTGTTCCTGTCCAAGACTTGCTACCTGGAGAGGCTCTCTGACAACTTATGACATTGCCGTCCAAAATGTCTTCCTTCATCTGACAGGCAATCTTCTCGTGCAGTCACCAAGTTGCCCCATCTTTACTGCAACTTGTCTTTTTCTTTTCAATCAATAATCCTGCATCCTAGCTCCTCTGAAATTTATCCTCTCGTGTCTCTCCTAAAATATAAACCCAATAACCTGCGCGTATTGTACTTTTCATGTACAATGAAAGTGTCAAAGATGAGGAGCGCTGGGCAGGAGAAAGAAGGGAGAATTAAAGTCTTTGCCCAAATGTTTGTATTTTTAGGAAGGTTTTGGAGGCAGTGAGAGAGGAAATGAGGCAAAGAGGTTTTGAAAGAGAGTTCCAAGGTGTAGGAGTAAGATGCTGTGACTGAGAAATGAGCAATGAATCAGAACAGTGGGTGGTAAAGACAGGGTGGCTGGGTTGAAGGAGTTTGCACAGCTAAGTGAGACTGTGAAGCAATTTGAAGGTCAGGACCAAGAACTTAGTTGATCCCCTGGGCTACTGTCCTTCGTACTTTTCCTCCTCCCCACATTTCGACCACAAAATATAGTGTCAATTCACTTTACAGTATATTCTATGATGCGCTTTGAGATGTCTCGAAGATGTGATAAGGCGCTATATCAAATGCAAGGATTATTATTATTGCTTTCCATTCTCCTGCCAATGAAGCATTCTCACAGTCCTGCACCAGAGTGTCAACCGAGACTAAACCCAAAGAGATGGGCTTGGATCTAACTGTAGGATTTTGTACCGATTCAAATGTTTGCAAACCCTGCTTTTGTGAAATGTAAGTACCATTATCATCTCATTTCCTAGAAATGTAAATATGTCTGATAAGGAAATATTTCACCTCTCCACCCTGGCAGATAAGACACTTTCTGGAAAAACTCCTGTACCTGAGTAGGTATTCAAAACAATGCATACTTGACTGAAGGTTAGATAAATAATTTACTCCACCCTCTTTGTTCGTCAGTATTCTTTGAGAGATTTGAACTGCAAAGCTTTCAAAGAAGCTAGAAGCTCTCCAGTAACTCACTCAAGCAGCCATGTTTCATGTGTGATCTCTATGGTGAGCATTCCTGATCGTGATGCTCATCCCGTCTTCCCCTATCACTCATGCATGCAGATTTCCAGCAGGGGTCACTGAACAGCCACCAGGAACGGGAAGCCTGGCCAGTTTCCACCCAGCCTGGGAACTCTCGTGCAAGTTGTACTTCTTACCATTGTCATCGCAGTTCTAATTCGGTTGTTACCATTTCCACCTGTTCGTTCCCTGATGGATCAGTGTGTGAAACACTGTCACGGGAGGGAGGAGTACAGAGCAGGAAATTCCAGTGTTGAATTCTGATCTATTTCTGAGTTAAGCACTGTAACCTTAAAATTGATCTGCTAGGAGATAGGGGATCAGTGGAGTGGATGATGTTGATGAGCCAAATACAGAGTTAAAACTACACCTACAAATGAAAATAAGCAATATTTGTGTCCTCCCCTCTTAGGCGTCTCTTCAAAACTGAAGAGCCCATTTTTGTCTTAATTGCATTGTTCATTCCTTATTTTATGGGGATCATCCTTGAGCTCTCCTCTACACTACCTCTAAAGTCTGGGCAACTCCCTTATGTCACCAACAACCAGAATTGTATCTTGGTGTGGTCTGACCAAAGCCATATGAAATGTTGGGCAGGTTTCCTTGCTCCACATGCCTGTCTGGCTAGCAGTGGGTGGAGGCCCGGGTGTTGGTTAATTCGCGGATCACTTTTTCGGGGATAATAATCCTTTTTAAAAATAAATACAATGGCGATTTGGTCGCTCAATCCATGACTGTTTGTGGGACACTATTGTGCACAATTGGCTGCCATGTTTCGCCCACAAATAGTCAATTCACTTTACAGTATATTCTGTAAAGCGTTTTGAGACATGATCTTTGCTGCTTCCGCTGATTTCACTGTTCCTTATCCTCACCTTCAAATGTCTCTCACAGCCTTGCCTTAGTAAAACTCTGCGATCTGCAGTTTTATTACCCAGGCCACTCCTTCCCCTTTGGCAAATCTGGCTTGCTTCATGCCCCCAACCCACTCCACCCTATCATCAGTGAGCCAGCTGTCAGCCAAAACCCCTCCACCTAATCCCCTTCCTCTCTGCTTTAAACCGTCTAACCATCTAAAGACCAATCTGCACCTACACCCTACACATCTCCCCTCCCTGCTTGTTCTGCCATCAATCTCTTTGTCAAATGCTTTGAGACATTCTCTCAACTTGAAATATAGTAATAATAATCCTTGTATTTGATATAGCACACTAACACTTCTGAGGTGACCTAAAGCACTTCACAGAATATATTGTAAAGTGAATTGACTGTATTTTGCGGGTGCAATAACAACAAACAAAAGTGCAAACATTTATATAAGTGCAAAAACAGCTTGTAAGACCGGATTGGAATTTGTTTTCGTTTTCAATTTGAAAATAGGCTCAAACATCTTCTGGCTGGGGCGGGACATCACCATAGTGAAGAGCTGCCAGGATCTGCTGTTTGCAACACAAGTTGTCAGGAAGTCCCACCCTTAGACTGATTCTCCTAGATGATTGGCTCCGAATGATGCCGATCACTAATACCTGTCCTTACGTGACCTTAAGAGCGTAAAGAGAAACGGGGAAACGCACAAAACCAATTATGTGGGTGGATTACGCCCTCAAAACTTTTTGAAACTGCTCATGATTTCTCAACTTTGGGAGCTATGCATCTGCTTAAAACAGCGGGTAAGTTGGTTTCTTACATCGGTGTTTGTACAAAAGTAGGGAGACCATATTCTGTAAAGCAAATCTGGAGACATGTACATAATTTTTTTAAACTCGCCACAATTCTTGTTGCTGGCAGTATTGGATAAGCTAGTTGGCTGTGTTTCTTTGGTGAGTGTAATGTCTTAGAATTTGATTGTGCTTGCTCAGTTTGTTGATGAACTCAAGACACGGCAAATTTGGTCAAGGACCCAATACCGTTTGACTGTCCGCGGAACTGTGTATCAAAATGCTTTATGAAGCAGCGATACGATGTAGGACTGTAAATGAAGTTCCTATCCTCATCGAGTGCCATTGAGTGAGTGCGGGGGTGGGACAGAAGAAAAGCTTTAGCATTTCGGAAAGTTGGCATGTGGACATGGAAGGCGAACAGGTTCAAACTTGATTGAGATTCCTCCTCTCCATCCCCACCCTCAATGTCTCCTTTAACAACTTAAAATTCACCACTTGGACCAGGTCTGAGAATCCACGAGGGACCCATCAATCCATTTCCCCAACAGGTGTCAGTGCTGTCAGGAGAATCCTGGAGAATGGGATGGGGGAGGGGTAAGAGAGAGAACCAAATTCATCAATGCCCTGACAGTAGATAACCTGGTTGAGAAATCATGGAAGAAGGGAAGAAGTCCTCAAGGTAGAGAACAATACCAATAACTTTGAATTAAATAAATTTATCAATTCCTGAAGTCCTGGATGGTGACTTGAAATTATAACATTACATCTAGTCCTGAAACAGATGGGGCTGAAATGAAGTCGAGACATAACTGAAATAGAGATAATTTGTGCTGTGTTAACTTTGGATTTATTAAGATAGATGCATGGATGAGCATTTGGCTTTTTCACAGAACATAGGAAAGCCATTCGACCCATTGTATCGGTGCAGGGTCAACTACTCAAATACCCTCCCCATTGATCTCCCCTGCTCCAATGTTCACAAAATTCAGCTAAACTCATGCCCTGATTACCAAAGTCCTTGTCAAACTCCATTGGTTCCCTGCCACATTGATTACACAATCCTCACTCTTGTATTTAAATCCCTTCATGCCTTGGCATCCCACCTATCTCTCTCCAAACTGTCCTCTCCCTGTACTACTACCTGCTGCCTCCGCTCGACTGGCTCCAGCTTCCTCCTTGTCCCCCCGGACCCTCCCCCGCATACTTTGCCACTACGTTCTGGAGCTGTGGAACTCCTTCCCTCAATCCCTTCGCCTTGCCCTCCCTCTCTCTCCCCCCATTTCAGGTCGCGCTTGAAGACCTTCCTCTTTGAACATGCCTACCGTCACCTTCCTGCGGTTTGGCATTCGGCTCCGCCACTGTTCAGCGTTCTGAGATGCTGTCCGGCATGAAGGGCGCCATATAAATCCAAGTTGTTGTCTTTTAATATAACTCCTTTCAGTCCTATTTATCAGTCCTTTTCTCTCATTCCTGTAATTGACTAAAGCAGTTTAATGATATATGTTCAGCAACACCTTTAAGGAAGAAAGGGATCACACCCATCACACCAGTCCTTACCATGCTCCTTTGACTCCCAATCACTGAATGGAGCAATTTCAAGATCCTTTCATTCGTCTTCAAATCACTTAATTCTCCTGGCCTGTTTACCCTCCGCTTTACCACCCACTGCCTCCGTTCCAGCCTACTATTTGTCCCTCACACTCTCCGTTCCATCAGAAGTGGCTGTGCCTTCAGCAACTACGCCTCAAATTCTCTCCCTCAATCCCTCTGCCTTGCCCTCTCCCTTACCACCTTCAAATCTTCCCTGAAGACCCTCATTTTTGATCATGCTTACAACAACAACAACAACAAGATTCCATTTATAAAGCGCCTTTCACGTCAGGAGGACAGTCACCTACCCCCCCCCCCCTCCCTCCCCCGTTGGCTCATTGTCAGACTCTGCGTGAAGGGCGCTATATAAATGCAAATTGTTGTTGATAGATATCTAGTTATGATTGGGATTGAAAGGATACTTATGGACAAAGATGCAAGGAATAATACTCCTTGCACTTGATATCATTTGCAGTCGTCCGATGCTGCCTTGTGTAAAGGGCGCTTATATAAATGCAGGTTGTTGTCATAGATCATGTTGTCAAAACAGAATTGACAACCCCCTCTCCCCGTCCTCGGCTACAGTTCTGCAGGTAGCCGGATCTTACCCAACCGGTCATCATTCATGTGTGAATAAAGACCGCCAGTGGCATCGGTCTGCGCAAGAGCAGCTATTCTTCCTTTTTGCTTTAAAAAAAATAACAGCAGCAACAACAACTCGCTGACAGTTTACTTGAAACCTTCCCCTTCCCCCAAACTCAGCTCAGCGCTGCGCGGTGACAGGGTTTGTGCCGTACCTCCCCGGGGACTCACAAGCCAGAGACGTCAACATCCAGACAATGTGAAGACTGCAACAGGGCAGTGCCCCTTTAAGACTCATTCCAATGGCTTTAAGTCAGAGGGGACTTTTGGGGGGTGAGGGGGAGAGGGTGGAGGGGGAGAGGGATGCACAACACAGGGAGACTCACTGACTGCTGCAGGAGAGAAAGGCCTTTGCATTCTAGGGCACGAGCAGCTCCCATACCCTATCTTTGGGGGGAGCAGGAAACAGAGAGGGGGGAAGGGGGGCGGTGTGGTGAGGGGGGGGGGTGGGGGGTGTAGGAGAGTCTGGGAGGGGCTAGGACCCCGGCAGTGGGAGGGTACAGCTTTAAGAGGGGGGAGGGCCTGCCCGAACCAGGAAGGGAGTCAGTCACATACGGGCTACTGGTAGATAGTAACAGTGAGAGGGAGGGAGGGAGGGAGTGTGGGGTGACACATCCATAACCCGGGACTGAACCCAACCGTACCAGACGCCGGACCCCCACCAGGGCCACCACCAGCGGCAGGTAAACCCCTCAAACCTTACACCTTTACCTTTTTCCCCCCCAAAAAAACCCGCCCCGGGTGTGAGGCCGGGGCACGCCGTTCGCCGCACGCTGCTGTGCGGAAATCCAGGCGCCGGCCGGCTTCTCCCTCCCTCTCGCTCGCTGTGCCTCGACTGTCCTCCTTTACCACTGGTCTATTTGCTTACGTTTTTTTTTGCCGCCACCCCCCCTTCTTCTCCTTCGACTCGGGAGCGGGAGAGCGCATGCGCTGGCGCGGTGGGCGCTGGGACTTGGCGTCTTTCCCGCCCGCTGGTCTCGGTAGCGGCAGTGGGGGGCGGACTGCAGTTCCCATAGTGCAGCACGCGGACGTTTGGGGGGGGGTCAGAGAGCGAGCGCGAACGTACGCGTGCGCAGACTTCCTCCTGGCTGGCTCGCACTGTCGCCCAGGAACGCGCATGCGCATCGTCGTCCGCCGGCCGATGATGCTGTTGAGCCGCTCTCGCGCGCGGGACTCGGTTGCTCCCCTCCCCCCCCTCTCTCTCTCCCTTCTCTTTTTCAAACCCCAACCGTCGTGCGGGGCGCGAGCGCCCAAGCGAGTGATGGACGCGGGGCGCCGACCAATCAGGGAGTGAGGGGTTGGGGGTGGGGGGGGGGTGGACAGGGCAGAGGGGGCGCGCGGCGAAAGGGGCGGGAATGAATTGGTGGCCGTTGGAGCCGGGGTGAGTCTGCGCACGCGCGCTTCGGCCGAAGGCCACACGAAGCCGCTGAGCGATTGCTGGTGTTTTGAGCGGGAGGAGGGGGGCGGTTATGTGGGCTGAGGGGCATCGCCTCCCCCCTCCTGCCTGGCTGCCATTAGCCGCTCCGAAATGTCCTTCCAAGAGCTTGAAATGGCAGCGGCCGAGGGGCTCGAGGGGAGGGAAGAGGCGGGGGAGGGGGTATGTGGGTGGAGGGGTATTGCCTCCCCTCTTCCTCACCGAATAAACCGCTCTGAAATCCCCTTCAAGAGAGCCTTAAATGGCATCAAAAGCAATTCCTTTTTTTTTAACCTTTATATATATATATATATATTAAAAAAAGCGGTGAACACACCGGACTGGTTTGGGGGTTTCTGTTGGATGGCGGTGAGAGATCAGAGAGGAAGCCTCTGGGGGTGGTGGGGGGGGGTCTGTGACTGTCCTCTCCACCCTTCCCAGTGACCTTCACTAAGTTGTGATGCCCTCTCAGGCTTTGTTCACTACAGCCTCTCCCCCCCCCCCCCCCCCCCACTCTCCCTCGCCAACCAAGGTCCTGAATAGGCAAACCCTGTGGGGTTCAGGAGGAGAAGGGCTCTCTTTAAATTTGAATTGACTTTCGTGTGGACCTTTTACAACATTTACATGTAAATGGGATGTGGTTTTTTTTAATGACTTAAGTTTGGAGGGGTTGGGGCCGCCACTTGCAGAGTCGCAGCACCCCCCCCCCCCCTCTTGCAATGTTATTTTGAATATATAGTCAAATCAGGTTGGTACAGGATCTTTGTGGGCTCCCGAAGTAACTCCTAATAATAATAATCCTTGCATTTGATGTAGCGCTTTTCACGTCGGGAGGACGGCCCAAAGCGCTTCACAGAAGACATTGTAAGGTGAATTGACTGTATATTTGTGGGCGAACGCGGCAGCCAACGGTTAAACACTGGCCTCTCGTTTGATGTTGAAAGGCATTTGGATGAATGATACATTTAGAAACTGTTCAGTTTTTAAAAGATGCGCATTTTGAAATGCCCTTTAAATTGATGCAGTTTAATGGACTTTTAATCTTCAGTGGAGATTTATATAGCTTAAAGAATGAGTTGCAGCCTTGGCTGCTCACTTAAAAATCGAGTTACTGCAGTATATCAATCGTGTTTGCTTCGGTTAGCTACGGGACAAAATAGTTCATTATTTTTGTGGATACCCATCCGATTTAATATTGCGTTTATGCCAGGTACAAGCAATCTTTTTGGAAACAGTTTCTATCAAAGTATGATGATGATGATAATCCTTGCATTTGATAGAGCGCCTAATCACGTTAAGAAGTCTCAAAGCTCTTCGTAGAATATACTGTAAAGTGAATTGACTGTATATTTTGTGGGCAAAACACGGCAGGCAATTGCGCCCAGGGGTATCCCACAAACAGTCATCGATTGAAGTGACCAAATTTATTATGATGTAGGATGATGAAAGAGGAGAAGGTGGCCAACAGCAGAGGTGGTTCTTAAGGCATGTATTGAAGGCAGAGGAATAGAGGTCAGAAACTCTGGTATAGAGTTCCAGGGAGTGTGGGCAGTATTGCTGAAAGCTCAGTAACAATGGTGCGCTTGAATCAGGCGGGAGACATTATACAGGCCAGTGTGGCTGAGTAGAGGGACGGGTAGGGAAGCAGGAGGTTGCAGAAGTAGGATGGGGAATTGCCATGGATGAATTTGAAGGTGAGGAGGATTCTCAATTCGATCCGCTGAGGGATTAAGTTAACTCAGGGAGCCGATGGGATTGATGGGCTGCGGAGCCTGGAGCAGGAGAGGAAACGGGCTGCAGAGTTCTGGATAGTCTGCAGCATGTGTAGAGAGAAGATGGGGTTCTGGTGAGCAGGATGTTGGAAGAATCAAGCCTGGATGTACAGCAGGCATGCTTGAGGGTGCCTAGAAGGAGAGGTAATGGTAGAGGTGGGTAATGTGGTGGAGTTGAGGGAAACTCAAATGAGTCCTCCTAGTGTAAGTTATAACTGTGTTTACCAAAGTTGTGATTAGTTTGAGTGCATTGTTTTAAGTTGTCGAGGATGTGATAATAAGGAAAAGAGTACTCAGGAAAGGAACTTGGAAAGTGAGCCAGGTTTATAAGTTTTGTTATTTTAAAGCGCTCAGATGTTATGCTATGTGAATGGCGCTGTATAAATAGAGGTTGTTTAGCTAATTCGTTTTTTACTGATTGACAATGTATATTATAGTGTGTAACATAGCAAACTAGACTGTAGGGGAAAGTACTTATTCTTCCATTGAATGTTCCAAAGCTTTTATTTTAGTAGATTTACAATAATAATTCTTGGCTGAAGAGGCATTTGCTGCACTCAATGAGGATTTTATCTAACTGGAATCAGACATGTTATGCTGACATTGGATAGATACCTGACTTTAGGGTAATTTGTTTTGCAGACCAATCTACTGCAATAGTATTCTATTCATTTCCTTCTGCACCTGTAGTTGAATGAACGGTTACAATTTGCAAACTGGAAACATAGGCCCCCACCTATGTGTGGCAAGAAAGCATAGTAGTTAACCTTGCGATATCCAAGTATCTGTATGTCACTTGAGCTGTGGAAACACATCATCTATGTAATCTTGCAAGTTTTTTTTAAAGTATGCATTATTCTATAGAACATTCTTGGCCAAAATGTTGGCTGGACATTCATGGTGATAGTACAAGGTGACCAAAACGTCTTTAATTTTTCAGCTACCCAATTATCTAAAAAAATCATCATTTCTTTAAGACTCATTAGACATTGTAATGGTATCGGGACTTTTTAGTCACCCTGTACAGCTAAGCCTTTTTATCTGCATAAGTAAGCTAAAATAGCTGGATTTAATGTATTTGCCGGTATTAGTGGAATAGTTTATGCATTTATAACTGTCATAGAGCTGTAAAACCCAAATTCATTCACTCTGCAATGAGAAAATTGTAGCTGTAAAAGTATATTTTACAGTAGACATTTTGTCTTTTAAAACTTAACTCATTTATGTACAGCAGAGGCTTTGAAAATGAAACATGTTGAAGCATTGAAAAGGCCTAGAAATCTAGAGGTAGGCTTTCATAACTTCTGAACACTACCAGCCTACTTCTAAATAGTCGTATTTAGCTTGATAGTTTCTTCACTTAAATAGCACTGTCTACCAACTCAATCCAAGGCTAGCTGACTACCTGGGAATGATGGGCCTAAGTGACAAGTTGGCCTTATCAGTGGGATGTCTTGGTAGTGTTGTCCTGGTTGAACTGAAGACTGTCTATTTTTCTGATTATTTGATTAATGAAAAAAACATCACGAGGATTAATTGATGCCTGAGAGTTTGTAGTAGCCCAGTAGCTGAGTGTCCTACTAAGACTGCACCAAATCCGAAAGGGTCATTAAATCATAATAATAATAATCACAAATTAACTGTTGAGATATTTTCCGCATTGGCTTTTTGTTTCCAAATTGACATTTCAAAAATAATACTAGTGTTTCCTTGTCTGTCCAAGGCATTAATGGACTTGGAAGGGATAAACAGTCACAAGCAAATAAATATTTCTTATTTCTGACCCTCCCCCCATCAGCACTAGTAGGGATTCCCCCCACACACGCACACACACACTCCCCCACATATTGGGGGAGAAAATCTGAGATTATTTCCCTGCGCCACTTTTGCAGAACCTCTTTAATGTTACCTTGGAGGACATTTGCAGAAATTTGAAGAGATCCATCTGATTGTGCTTTGCAATTTAGAAATGGTCTTTTGGGTAGAGAAGAAATTATAAATGGAGAAGAAAATAGAAGTCTTTGTTCATTACAGCCTCTCCCCCCCCCCCCCCCCCCCCCCACCTCGCCTCTCCCTTGCCAACCAAGGTGAAGTTGGAGATACTCAACTATATTTTACTTAATTGGGACGGTGAATACGAAACTACCAGCTGCCACCACCCAGGCAGTACAACATGTGGTTGAAAGATTTTGTATCCAGAAATCAGGCTGTAATGATGCTAATCCTTGCATTTGATGTAGCGCCTTATCACATTGTTGAGATGTCTCAAAGCGCTTCACAGTGGACATGCTTAGTCGCTGTAAAGTGGATTGACAGTGTATTTTGTGGGCGAACATAGCAGCCAATTTTACAAAGGGCCGCTTAAAGGCCTGTGCTCTAGTTGGGACATTTTGGAAGATCAAGTACTTAAACTGCAGTAACTGCATTCTTCCATGAATTGCTAGCCATTGTGATCCACTTCCAGAGTGGAGATCCCACGGGCAGACATAATAATAATAATAATAATAATAATCCTTGCATTTGATATAGCGCTTTTCACGTCGGGAGGACGTCCCAAAGCGCTTCA